TGGAGCTATGTTCATTGAGAAGTTCATCGAGCGACCTCGTCACATTGAGGTCCAACTGCTGGGTGACAAGGCCGGAAATGTGGTGCACCTGTACGAGCGTGACTGCTCCGTGCAGCGTCGTCACCAGAAGGTGGTGGAGATCGCCCCGGCACCGCGCCTGCCCACCGAGATTCGCGACAAGATGACGGAGGCCGCCGTGCGTTTGGCCTGCCATGTGGGCTACGAAAACGCCGGTACCGTGGAATTCCTGTGCGACGAGTCCGGTAACTTCTACTTCATCGAGGTGAACGCCCGCCTGCAGGTGGAGCATACCGTCACCGAGGAGATCACTGGCATCGATCTGGTGCAGTCGCAGATCCGCATCGCCGAGGGCATGACCCTGCCTGAGTTGGGCTACACACAGGATAATATCGTGCCGCGCGGCTATGCCATCCAGTGTCGTGTGACCACCGAGGATCCGGCCAACGACTTCCAGCCCAACACCGGTCGCCTGGAGGTGTTCCGTTCCGGCGAGGGTATGGGCATTCGTTTGGACAGCGCATCCGCTTACGCCGGAGCCATTATTTCGCCGTACTACGACTCCTTGCTGGTCAAGGTGATCTCGCACGCTTCGGATCTTCAGAGCTCCGCCTCCAAGATGAATCGTGCCCTGAGGGAGTTCCGCATCCGCGGCGTGAAGACCAACATCCCCTTCCTGCTGAACGTGCTGGAGAACCAGAAGTTCCTGCACGGCGTTCTGGACACCTACTTCATCGACGAGCACCCACAGCTGTTCAAGTTCAAGCCCTCATTGAATCGCGCCCAGAAACTGCTCAACTACATGGGCGAGGTGCTGGTCAACGGACCACAGACGCCACTGGCCACCACTCTGAAGCCCGCCCTCGTCTCGCCGCACGTGCCCGAGGTTCCGCTGGGTGAGTTCCGGGCGAATCTCCCCTTAAAGATCAGCAGGTCATCATGGCATGTGCTTTTCGGGTTCACGCTTGCTTGTGTGGCTTCCACTCGTGGCTGATGCCGCTTTCTGCTATCCGATTCAGACGGATCCTGGCTTAAAAGGTTGTTACACGAAGCATTGTTTTTTTTTTTCAATTACTGAGGAATTCTAAATTACATCATTAGCGGGGTGAGCCAAATCCTTTCAAAAGATGCCATTTTATGATTAAATTAAGATATTGTTTGGTGACCCCAATGTAACACAATGATCTTTTCTGAGCTTAACTCGATTTTGAATGTTATACCTTTAAAGGCTAATGCTTTTATATTAACTCTATTATAGATATTAATATAAGCTTAAAAAAAGATGTCTATGAAATTTAGTTTACAAGATATGCTTCGTGTAAAAGTACCTTCAGCTACTTAATCTATTTAATTGATTTATTAACGAATTTAACAGATCAATTGATGCACTTATTTCCAAGAGGCATGTTAGTTTATTTTATTTCTGCATCTCCTGTGAAACGTTCTTTGCTTTTCTGATATGCTTTAATCGAACCTTTATGTTTTTCCTCTTTCAACTATCAATTTTTGTTGCATCTGTTATTAATCAACCAATGCAAAATCGTAATCGCGATTGCAATCGAATCGGCAATTGCAAAACACCAAACCAATATCACACACCTATGTATGTATCGACAACAAAACGACAACGATTCAAAAATGCACAACACGCCCACCAATAAACCCACGACCACGCCCACTCCGCCCCGTTCATACGCGACACGTTCTCATGATCGAAATCATAATCTACGGTTCGTAGACCTGTCCCCGGAAGCACTAGCACGCGAAGAACGTGGCGAGGCCAAAGGTACGTCAACTTATTTATCCCGCAATCGAGAAGGGAAAGGAAACCCCATTTCCACACCGACATTTGTACATACGCACATTGATCATACCAGTATATGTCAGAAAAGTTTACTAAGGTGCACCTAACTTTATCTCAGAAATCTCCAGAGGTTTGGAATACACCAATAAGACTTGGATTCACGAAATATCTGATCTCCATAAACGCTTTCAAACCCCTAGAGATTTCTGGGGGCACCCCGTATATGTTCTTAATTCGAAAACTGAAATTTAAATTAAACATAAACATATGTGCTTTGGTGTTTTTATATATTTATATATTTATCATCATTGTTTGGTAAAAAGCTAATTTCATTCAACACACTTTACTTGATATATTAATTGTTTATTAATTCAGCTTTTGGTTTTATTAGCTTTTTGATGTTCAGCTTAACGAGTATTTGTTTTTGGGGGTTTGTTTATATTTAATGTTAATGTTATAACTAGACCCCATAAATGTCCCAACTTAAAAGATATATTCCCGCAATATTAAAAAAAATATACAAATTGTAGATGCGGGACTATGTCGACTAATTAAAGTTCATAAACTAACATATTTTGGTGCTATAGTTACGGAACCGCCGAAGGGACTGCGTGAGGTCCTGGTTTGCGGGGGTCCCGAGGCCTTTGCCAAGGAGGTGCGCAACCGCAAGGAACTACTGCTCATGGACACCACCTTCCGCGATGCCCACCAGTCGCTGCTGGCCACCCGCGTCCGTTCCCACGACCTGCTGAAGATCTCCCCCTTCGTGGCACACAAGTTCAACAACCTGTACTCGCTGGAGAACTGGGGCGGAGCCACCTTTGACGTGGCACTGCGCTTCCTGCACGAGTGCCCGTGGGAGCGGCTGGAGGAGATGCGCAAGCGCATCCCGAACATTCCCTTCCAGATGCTGCTGCGCGGAGCCAACGCCGTCGGCTACACCAGCTATCCGGACAACGTGGTCTACAAGTTCTGCGAGCTGGCGGTCCAGACCGGCATGGACATCTTCCGGGTGTTCGACTCGCTCAACTATCTGCCCAACCTGATCCTCGGCATGGAGGCCGCTGGCAAGGCGGGCGGCGTGGTGGAGGCGGCCATCTCCTACACCGGAGACGTCAGCGATCCCCAGCGCACCAAGTACGACCTGAAGTACTACACCAACCTGGCCGACGAGCTGGTCAAGGCGGGCACACACGTGCTCTGCATCAAAGACATGGCGGGTCTGCTCAAGCCCGAAGCCGCTAGGTGAGTCCGGAAGGGGATTTCCTTTATCCCAAATGTACTATATGATGCTCACCCCATGGCAGGCTTCTTATCACCGCTATCCGAGACAAGCACCCCGACATCCCGATCCACATCCACACCCACGACACCTCCGGAGCTGGAGTGGCCTCCATGCTGGCCTGTGCCAATGCAGGAGCAGATGTGGTGGACGTAGCCGTCGACTCAATGAGCGGCATGACCTCCCAGCCGAGCATGGGCGCCATAGTGGCCTCCCTGCAGGGCACTCCGCTGGACACGAATGTGGACCTGCGCACGGTGTCGGAGTACTCCGCGTACTGGGAGCAGACCCGCACCTTGTATGCCCCCTTCGAATGCACAACGACGATGCGGTCGGGCAACGCCGATGTCTACCTGAACGAGATCCCCGGCGGCCAGTACACGAACCTGCAGTTCCAGGCCTTCTCGCTGGGTCTGGGCGACTTCTTCGAGGACGTGAAGAAGGCCTACCGCGAGGCCAACCTGCTGCTGGGCGACATTATCAAGGTGACGCCCTCGTCGAAGGTGGTGGGCGATCTGGCCCAGTTTATGGTGCAGAACAACCTGACCGCCGACCAAGTGCTGGAGCGGGCCGAGGAGTTGTCGTTCCCCAAGTCGGTGGTGGAGTACCTGCAAGGCTCTATTGGCATCCCGCACGGCGGATTCCCAGAGCCCCTGCGCTCGCGCGTCCTTAAGGACATGCCCCGCATCGAGGGTCGTCCGGGTGCCGAGCTGAAGGACTTGGACTTCGCTCAGCTGAAGAAGGATCTGAAGGAATCTCACACCTGCATTACCGACCGCGACGTCATGTCGGCCGCCCTCTATCCGCAGGTGACAAACGATTACCTGAACTTCCGCGACACGTACGGACCCGTCGACAAGCTGGACACGCGCATCTTCCTCACCGGACCCAAGGTGGGCGAGGAGTTCGACGTGCCCCTGGAGCGTGGTAAGACTTTGAGCGTGAAGGCTCTGGCTGTGTCCGCCGATCTCAAGCCCAACGGCATCCGCGAGGTCTTCTTCGAGTTGAACGGCCAGCTGCGTGCAGTCCACATCCTGGACAAGGAAGCAGTCAAGGTGGGTTTAACTTACAGCCTTTGGCAGGCACTGGAATTCACCCCTCTCTTTCTCGTCCGCAGGAAATCCACGTTCACCCCAAGGCCAACAAGTCGAACAAGAGCGAGGTGGGCGCACCCATGCCCGGAACAGTCATCGATATTCGCGTACAGGTCGGCGACAAGGTCGAGAAGGGTCAACCCCTTGTCGTGCTCTCGGCCATGAAGATGGAGATGGTGGTACAGTCTCCCCTGGCGGGCGTTGTCAAGAAGCTGGAGATTGCCAACGGAACGAAGCTCGAGGGCGATGACCTGATATTGGTCATCGAATAGATTTGGAGCCCCGGAAGAAGTGCCCCCGGGTCACAATGTCCATTGTCCAAGCTGCCACCGCACACCTAATGTAAAATTAAGTCAAAACAGTGATAATCTTAGGGATTCTGTCAGTTCGATTGACCATAAATTGTCCCATCGCCTGTGTCTAATTTTACATGTATCTGTAGAACCGTATTTCCAGGATGATTCGACCAACCGTTACTTTTAAAGTGTTTTTGCTAACCCCAAACACTATCATTATTCAGGTTCGGATTGGAAACGGATTGTATATGTACGTGTCCAGGTATATTTGTAAATTTATCGTAGATCCTTTCCTCAACTCATTTAAATCAAATTTGTACGATTTTCGAATTTTAAATTCGCAAAAACCTTTGTCGAGATTCCCCTCCTCCAGTAAATACATAAGTGGTTATAAATATTATATTAACTATTGTCTAATAAACGTTATACAAAATAAAAAGTACTCTTTTTTCCGTATTTCAATATGAATTTTGTTGGATAAACCCACACCATAACCAAATCAAAAATTAGAATTCAATTATAAATTTTATTTTCTTATAACTAATTAAACTGATTTAGATTACAACAAGCAGGGAAGAAACAGATCCATAGGTAAGGTTTACATGCACTTCACAATGAACTCCAGGAAAGCCAGTTCCTTATTCAGTTCGGTGACCCTCTTGAAGTGCCTCTGGACGTAGGGCGTGAGTACCTCGACCATATTGCCATTGTTGTAGAACCGTGCCTTGGGATCCTGCAGAGCATCGCCAATCAAGTGCTTCAGGATCAGATTTCCCACCTGCGAGTGGCGCGAGTTGGTGGTCCAAGCCTTGACATGCTGCAGTAGCGCCACCCGCTGGTCCACGTTTAACTGGTCTACCAGCTGGCGGAGACCAGGCTCATCTCGCTTGCGGACAAAGTGGTTGATAATGTCGAAGCTGGCTTTTGGCTTGTTCAGGTTTAAGGCCAAAACGAAGGCCTTGTGCAGCTGTTTCTGGGCGTGCAGAAGCGAGTGGAGCGTCTGCTCCTGCTCCAAGGTGGCCTGCCGTTGATCCAATGCCTCGTTGCGCGTGGCCTGGGTGACATCGCCGAAGCGAATCAGCTTGGAGTCGGCTCCTCCGGTGTAGAAGAACCGATTGCTTCTGCCGGAAACGGCCAAAGCCCAAACGCGGTCGTTGTGCTCGTCCAGGGATTGTATGCATGTGTTGGTCTTTATATTCCAAAGCTTAAGAAGGCCATCCGACGCGGCAGACAGAATAAACTTTCCGTGATCCAGGAACTCGGCTCTCAGTATGGTGCATTCCTGGTCGAAGCGTTTAATGCAGGCAAAATTGCTGATGGACCAAAGGCGCAAAGTGCAGTCCGAGGAGGAGGTGAGGACGATCTGGTCCACCGGCGAAAAGCGCACACTCCACACTCCACGCGTGTGACCCCTAAGCACGCCCTGCAGTGAGTTGGAATCCGCCAGCCAGATCTTGGCCGTCTTATCCTGCGAAGCGGTGGCCAGGAGTTTGTTGTTCGGGGCATAGGCCACACAGTTTACCTCCTTGTCGTGGGAAAGCGCTGCATAGCGCAGATTGAAGGAGTACGAGTTGCGATCTTCCTTGGCCCTGGCCAACTGCCACACCTTCATGCTGCCATCCTGGCTCACGGATGCGAAGCCGGTAGCTCCGTTGTGCGTCATAGCCACGCATCCAATGGTGGACGTGTGGCAGTTGGACTGCTGTGTCAGAGCCTCCAGCGAGCAGTCTTTATCGTGTTGAAGCTTCCACAGACGAACGCTGCAGTCCTTGCCCACCGAAATTAGCAGATTCTGGGAGGCAGCCAGGGACATCACCGTATCCGAGTGGCCAACGATCAGCTTGCAGTTCATATCGTGCTCGGTGTCGTACAGCTTGAAGTGCTTGCTGTTGGTGGCAACGGCCAGGTAGCGATCGTTGTCGCCCATGAAGCACATGTCCAGGATCTCGTCGTTGTAGCCCACCAAGTGCTTGACGGGTTCCAGGCTTTCGGCGTCGTAGACTAGTATATTCTGCTCCGTAGTGACCAGTGCCAACTGCTTTAGCTCGTTGCAGTGCAGCAGTCTACTGATCTGAAAGTCGGACTGGGAGAGAAGGTCCTTGATCTTCCAGGACTTAACATCCACTTGTTGCAGCTTGCCCGCACCACTGGCCACTATTATCTGGCTTCCCTTGTCCGCGTAAACGACTCCTTCCAGTTCCTCATACAAGGGAAGAACTTTCAGCTGCTTGCTCTCCAACTGTTCCTGCAGTTGCCACACGATCAGGACCTTGTCCCGGCTCACAGTCACAACCTCATTGCAGTCAGACGCCTTGCTCTTAAAGCTCAGACCCGTCACCTGCGAGAGGTGACCCCGCAACTTGTGCAAAAGGGTCTTAGTCTCGTAGTTCCAGGCATAGACGGTGTTGTCCGATCCCCCAGCGAAGATCTCCTTGCGCAGCACATTGGGATGGAAAACGAGTAGCCAAGCGGGACCTGGAAAATCCTTTAATGCGCCCAGGCAGCTGTTGTTCGAGTAGTCCCACAGTCTCAAAGTGGCGTCCGCTCCACCGCTGGTGCAGATGAGCCTGCCGCAGGGACTGAACTCAACCCGGATGACGGGTCCCTTGTGCTGGGCCTTCCACAGCTTTACCAACTTGCCGGTGGTCAGCTGCCACAGCCTCAGCAGGCCACTTCGATGGGCAGTGACCAGGTGCTCCTGGGACAGCCCGAAGCAAGTGATTGTGTCCTCTTCCACATCTATGTTCTCTAACTCCGCAGGCTTTTTGTTCTCCGCCGAAGAGGGAGTCGCCCCGAAGCTCTGCAGGATCTGGGAGGTCTGCACATCCACCTGGTTGACGACGGCTCCATTTAGGCAGTAAAAGTGCTGGCCATCCGCGCTCCAGGTAATGTCGCCGCCGGCGTAGAAGTTCGTGTATCGCGCTTCCGCCGCATAGCTAAATAATAAATTAATTAAATAAGTATTTTCATTATTTCTAAATTACTTAATTAGTTTAATTTACCTTTTCTCACTGATATTCGCCAACATGTTTTTCGTTGTTTATAAATATAAGAACCGCGTGCACCGCGGATCGGGAACTAAAGAAACTGAACTAGTTCGAAATGGAACTCCCCAAACATGTTTGGGATATTCAATCGCTTAAATAAACCAAATATTCAGTTGAAATAAAAAGTCTAAAAGCTTTAACTTTTGTTTCTTGAAATATGCAATACAAAAAGGAAACATTCCTTTATTTTATTTTTATGTTATTCAATTTAACTTTTGCTTTTGGTAACTATATCTAGATACATGACCAAATAAGCTTAGGCTTGCTGTAAAACCTATTTACAAGGCATTTTAATCACCTTAAATTAACTAATTTTAGAAAATATTCAACCCCTTATAAAAAAAGGCGACAATCAGTCAAAAGTATATATTTTCAAATAAATCTGGAATCGATAGTTGAGCGATAATCGGCTAGAATGGTAAGTTCGCCAGCACACTATCGAATCTCCGATAATCGATAGGCGCCTTTGTTTTGTCCATCACTAGCCAAGCAAAAGCCGTCAAATCATCGTCGCTCATTTGATCCAACATATTAAACTAATTTCTGCGCTTTAATAGTTTAAATTTCGACCGAGTCTTTATAATGAGTACCATTGGCACAGGAGTAAGTATTTAATGACCCGAACCTCTGATCAAAAGATGCTTATCAAAGGCATTTTCGTTGCAGTACGACTTGTCGGCCTCCCAATTCTCCCCGGATGGCCGCGTTTTCCAGATCGACTACGCCTCGAAGGCGGTGGAGAAGAGTGGCACCGTGATCGGAATCCGAGGCAAGGACGCCGTGGTCCTGGCTGTAGAGAAGATCATCACCAGCAAGCTGTACGAGCCGGACGCCGGTGGGCGCATCTTCACCATCGAGAAGAACATCGGAATGGCGGTTGCGGGACTGGTGGCCGATGGAAACTATGTGGCTGACATCGCCCGGCAGGAGGCGGCCAACTTCCGGCAGCAGTTCGAGCACGCCATCCCGCTAAAGCACCTGTGCGACCGCGTCGCCGGCTACGTTCACGCCTATACTCTGTACAGCGCCGTACGCCCCTTCGGCCTGTCCATCATCTTCGCCTCGTGGGACGAGGTCGAGGGCCCCCAGCTCTACAAGATTGAGCCTTCCGGCTCCTCCTTCGGCTACTTCGCCTGCGCCAGTGGCAAGGCCAAGCAGCAGGCCAAGACCGAGATGGAGAAGCTCAAACCGGACATGAAGATCGATGATCTGGTGAAGAGCGCCGGAGAAATGTAAGTTTACAGCCCCGCATATCTTGACATGGGAATATAAGGTCTTCCAGAATTGCAAGAGATTTCTGGGCCCCCGCAAATATGTGTGAGCAATCCGTATAAACTAATTGCGATGTCTATCTACTCTTTTAGAATCTACAAGGTCCATGACGAACTGAAGGACAAGGACTTCCGTTTTGAAATGGGTCTGGTGGGCAGGGTAACTGATGGCCTGCATCGTATTAATCCCCCAGAACTGACGGAGAAAGCGCGGAATGCCGGAGATGCCGCCAACAAGGAGGATGACAGCGACAATGAGACGCATTAGTTCGTTTGCGGCAGTGAATCTAATTCTGGGCCTAAATACATAACGTTAATTTTATATTTCCCTAAAGCGCAAAATGTATACAAAAAATCGGGTGAACAAATGTGTCGTTTCTATTTGTTTTAGTTTTGCCGGGGTATTAATTCTTAAGCATCTGACTGAAAATGGATAAAATGATTTATATTAGAATTCACAGTTTCTCTGAAATGAATTATACTTGAATTAAGATCTTAATTAGAATATTTTTAAATAAGAGGTAATTGGTTTTGGATCTAGTTCAAATAAGCAACTATCGAATTTTGCTCGATAACAATCAAGCAGTGTTATCGCTTACAGCTGATGCAGTTCGCGCCATAAATTGTTTGTGATTTAACGCTCGACAACTAAAAATAAATTCCATTATTTATAAGTGAAATGACTACGCTAATAGAACAGTTAATCACCAAAATGGGACTGCGCGAGGAGCCCAACGTAATGGAGTAAGTTTGAAATTGTGTGTTCTAAAGAAACAAAAGTGAATATGACGAATCCTTTACAGGAAAACCACCGAGTTGGTGCGTCTGCTGGAGCTGCGCTCCACAAATGTGCCACTGCAGATCAATGAGTATGGAAAAATAGTCTTGTGCGCGGATCTAGCATCCTGCCTGCTGGGCATCGGGTTCGACAAGGAGCAGGCCCTGAAGTTGTCCGGATTGCGAAAGAGCCAGTACCTCAACAATAAGCGGATGTTCGAAAAACTTCTTGACCTAAACAAACTGGCCAGCGTGAACGACATCTGCGTACAGCTGAGCCTCAATGAGGTGTCCCGCAAGGCGGAAGAGCTGATGACCCTCTTTAAGGCCGTGGCGGCCACAGAGGACACCGGCACCGACACCACCCATCCGCAGTACGCAGCCATGGCCGTCTTCCAGGCCTGCCGCTTGCTCAAGAAGAAGGTCTCCAAGTCGAAGCTCATGCCCTTCAGCAACCTGCGGCCCACACAGTTCCAGCAGCTCGAGCATCAGTGGGATCGCATGATAGCCAAGCACCACAAGGAGGGCAAAGTACCGGCCACCTCCGATCTGGAAGCCAAACTTAAGCAGAGCCAGCAGGAGAACATCAAGGACCAGGAGGCTAGGAAGGCACAAAAGCCTCAGGCGGAGGACTATGAGATATGGAAGGCACGAATGCTGGCCGCAGCCCAAGCCAAACTGAAGGAGTTGGAAGCTTCCCAACCGGATAACCAGCTCGTCGAGGTTTAGAATTTTTGTTTTTAGCTTTTAACCGTGTCATGTGAAATCCAGTTTTATCTCTTAATAGTGCTTATTTATTACACTCATCATTATCGTTAGTTCTAGGTTAAATCGACAAAATAAATTGTCATTCATAGTAAGTGATTAATAATGTTAGAATTCCTCTTTCTGCCATCTGTAGAATCGAAGATTTTTTTTTTAAATTCTTAATCTTCAAACATGTTAACAGTTTTGTTTTTTTTCATGTAAGATATGAGCAAATCAGTAATATCGACAGGATTACCTTCTTCATCTCGAGCTGAAAGTATAGAGATAGTTTGACTAAAAATATTCCCTTTTAAATTTCGACTTACGAATATATGTAATGAGATAAACTTTATTGCGAATCTCCGGATCCTTCCTAATGAGATCTTTCAATTTCTCATTGAACCTCATCCTAATCTCTCGCTTAAATTGCTTCATCTGCCGGGTGGCCGTCAATTCGGACTGCAGGGCATCGGAAAAGGTTATCAACGGCGTGGCAAGCTCGATGACAAAGTAATATATCTTGCCATTAACCTTGCGATTTATTTTGTAGACATTGAGCCTAAAGTGACGATCCACGCCGGCTCGATTAACGATCCTAGTTTGTAGGGGCTAATAAATACAATTGTACAATGAACGTTAAGAAAGGGATTTCCTCTTTTACCTTAGCTTCCTTCAATAAATCACTTTTGAGAATGTTATGGTCAGACGATTTGGAGGGACTAAGGATAACCAGTCGATCCAATCCAAAAGTAATGTTGTTCCTGGCCTGGGAAGTATGTGTATAAATATTATCCGTTTTTATAAAATTTTATATAAACTTACCTCATAAAGAGCCATTCGAGGTTTTAGCCCATCGTTCTGCCATTCGGGCAGCGAAAGCTTAAGGCATCCGTGGAACAAGCTCGAGGCCATTCCCGTCGCAAAATCCAGTCCATGGGAGTCTCTTAACCAGTTGAGTTCGGTCAGCGGGCTGTGACCAAGATCGTTTAAGAGCCAGTTCAGAGGAATTATAAGCAACAACTCGGATGTAGGAAGTACGGCCGAAAAATTCCCAGCAATAGAAATTCCAATTCCCAGGAATGTGACTGGCAACAGCACGCAAATCGATTTCATTTTGTAGGTGAACGAGCGGCAGAGGATCATCCGCAACCGATCCTCGGGCAGATAATTATGTCTAAATCGGATATATTCGACCGCACTGAGATAAAAGCGTCGCAGAAAGTCAGCCAAAAACACGGCTTCCACATAGCGAATAGAAGTGACTGCATAGATTCCCTATGATATAGTCAATATTCTTATCATTCCCAGCACACGGCGCACTCACCTATGTAATCTACGATCATCTTACAAAATAATCAAATTTCTTCCTCCTCCGCTTTTTAAAATAGCCACATTCTACGTATGAAATGGAACTGTGTGGCCAGATCAAATTTAAATATTTAACGAAGGGTTATCTCTCAAAAGTGGAAGGACAAATTTTTAAATTTTTGAAGCACGTGATCTTAATAAAATTATGTTTTTATCAAAATAATAATATACGTCCACACATCCTGATTAGCTTATGACGAGCTATGACCACACCTAATTGCCCTACAATGGAGCACCCGCTGCCCACTTTTTTTGTCCTCTTTAGAAATAATTTGACAATACACGAAAACAAGGTCCACCCTTGTGTGGCGTATTCAACAATAAATATAAAAAAAAAGAATATACATATACATAATGTTTAGAATGTAAAGAATTATTAGTTTTCAAACAATGCAATATTTGTTTCCCCTTTACTAATGTCCCGCAAAAACTTTTTTATAGGTTAAACAACTTATTTATTATCATTAGTTTTAGATACAAAAGTAAAAAGAGCATTACAAATTTACTTTGTCATATATGGTAATATTCTTAAATTCGAGATTTATAATAAATTTATAAATTCTTAGCCGGCCAATTCGTCTATAATTTTGGTTTTATTTTGCATATGATCTATGAGCAAGCTGCCAACATCCACAAGATTTCCCGCGGTATCATGCGCTGCAAAAATAGGAGGATCGTTAGAATTAGAAACCAGGAAGATTTCCAGATTGGTTAGTTCCTAGAGTTTCAAAAGTTAAATTTAGTTCAGTGACTATTAATATTTACATATATTGGCACAACGGTTATTCTACTGGTTACTTAGTTTTCAAATCTCTTCAAAGGGTTTTAACATACAGTTATAGATGATGAGCTGCACCTCGTTGCGGGTCTCGGGCCAAGTCGTAATGAGCTCCTTTAGGTGCTTATAGAACTTTAGCCAGATCTCCCGCTTTAGTTCCTGCATCTGCCAGGTGGCCGACAAGTTAAACTGCATGGCATCGAAGAAGGACAACATGGGCGTGGCGCCCTCCATGGCGAAGTAGTAGGTCTTGCCGTTGACCTTTTTTTTCAGTTTGTAGACAGCATGCTTAAAGGGGCGATTTACTCCGGCTCTATTAATGTACTTCGTCTCCAGAGGCTGAAAATATAATATTTTTGATCAGTATGAACTTCTAGAAGAACTCTTGAAGTTTTACTTGAACTTTCTCCAAAAGATTGCTTTCGAGTTCGCCGCTGACAAACATTTCGTCGGGAATGAGGATGACCAGTCGATCCACTCCAAAAGTGACGTTGTGTGTGTCCTGGGGAGTATTTTATTCTTATTCCTTTGCCTTAATGTTTGGGCACTTACTTACCTCGTACACAGCCATTCGATGCTTAATTCCATCGTCCATGCGTTCCGGCAACGAAAGTTTGAGGTAGCCGTGGAAGTAGTTGGATGCCATTCCTGCCGCATAGTCCAGCCCATGGTTACCCCGTATCCAGTGGGAGTAGCTCAGGGTGCTCTGACCTAGGTCGCTAAAGATCCAGTACAGCGGCATTTGGGCCAAGAACATGACTGTGGGCACTACAGACCTAAAATCCCCGCTAACCGAAATTCGGGAAAGTGCCACGAAAAGGTAAGCCAGCAGGAGGTAGACTGACTTGCTGTTGTAGGAGTACGAGCGCCGCACAATAGTCCAAACCCGATCCTCGGGAAGATAGTACCGGCTGTAGTAGACATACTCAACGGCACAGCGATATAAACGCTGAAGGAAGTCGGCCAGAAACACGGTGGCCACAACGCGAACGGATGTGTCTGCAATGAATCACGGCTATATAGTGGTTGGAGTCTAATCAGTCGTCACTCACCTATGTAATCTCCGATCATTTTCTTCAAATAAAAACATTTCCTGCTCTTCTCCGTCCGCACTGCCTGCTCCTCTTCTTCCGCGTTGTTTGCGATTGCCATTTTTCGAATCATATGGTATATGTACGTGTTGCCAGACCGAACAGAAGATTTCGCGAAAGCTTACTAGGAATTCAAAGTTTTTAAGAAATATTTAGTTTTAACATTGATATAATACAAAAATTAAATAGGATCTCATGATTTAGAAATTAACGAATATATAACTAATATTTTAATTGCACTTAATCTAAAAACATAATATAATTTTTTACGTCAACATACATTTTTTTAAAAATTAAATTCCTAAAAGCTAAGTATTTGACCACAACTGTAAGCAATTATTATGTATGCAGAACTCGATTTTTCCAAAATATTATACAGAAATATTATTGATAATGATTTCCGTTTCGATAATGATATTTGAAAATAAAGGCAATTCTAAATTTGAAGTATGAATGTGTGTGCACAAAGAAGCAATCGCATTCTTGTGTGCAACTTTTTAATATCGCAATCAAAGAAATACATTGTTCTGTTTATTTATGTTGATTTTCTGTGTTTATTTATTCCTATTGGAGACGGGTGCGCCAGTAAATGTTTTTTAATAATTTATAGGTTTTTATTTTATCGATTTTTGGAAGACACGGTTAAACATAAGATTAATTTAAACAAAGGACTTGTATTGGCGAAAGAAATAAAAACTGACAACATTTGTTGGGCTGCTGCTGCTCTGAGCTTGAATATTTAAAAAGTCAAGCTATTTTTATACCCTTGCAGAGGGTATTATAATTTTGGTCAGAAGTGTGCAACGCAGTGAAGGAGACATCTCCGACCCTATAAAGTATATATATTCTTGATCAGGATCACCTCCTGAGTTGATATAGCCATGTCCGTCTGTCCGTCTGTCCGTCTGTCCGTCTGTCCGTCTGTCTGTCCGTCTGTCTGTCCGTCTGTCTGTCCGTCTGTCTGTTTCTACGCAAACTAGTCTCTCAGTTTTAAAGCTATCGAACTGAAACTTTGCACACACCCTTCTTTCCTTTGCACGCAGTATATAAGTCGGAACGGACGGGATCGGCCGACTATATCCTATAGCTGCCATATAACTGATTGATCGGAAATGCCATAACTTTGGTGTTTGTAAAGTAAGGAAGCTGGGACTTCCTATGGGTTTTATATTTGGCCAATCAATCCGACCTACCAAATTTCATAAGGATCGGCCGACTATATCCTATAGCTGCCATATAACTGAACGATTGGAAATGCCATAACTTTGGTGTTTGCAAAGCTAGGAAGCTGGGACTTCCTATGGGTTTTATATTTGACCAATCAATCCGACCTACCGAATTTCATAAGGATCGGCCGACTATATCCTTTAGCTGCCATATAACTGATTGATCGGAAATGTCATAACTTTGGTGTTTGTTAAGTTAGGAAGTTGGGATTTTCTATGGGCTTTATTTTTGGCCAATCAATCCGGCCTATCAAATTTCATAAGGATCGGCCGACTATATCCTATAGCTGCCATATAACTGAACGATTGGAAATGCCATAACTTTGGTTTTTTTAAAGTAAGAAAGTTGTGATTTTTTATGAGTATTAAAAATGCATCATATGAATAATTTTGGAGAATATAATTTACAGAGTATTCTGCAAGGGTATATCAACTTCGGCTTCGCTCGAAGTTAGCTTTCCTTTCTTGTTATATTATATTAAAGGCTGATAAATTCATTATCTTTTCTATAACAGTGCTTAAGCTGGACTAATAGCTTATGTTGTAACTGGACTTCAAAGTGAATCTATTGCAATTTATTTTTAACTTTGTGTAAAACTGTTTTTATACCCTTGCAGAGGGTATTATAATTTTGGTCAAAAGACATCTCCGACCCTATAAAGTATATATATTCTTGATCAGGATCACCTCCTGAGTTGATATAGCCATGTCCGTCTGTCCGTCTGTCTGTTTCTACGCAAACTAGTCTCTCAGTTTTAAAGCTATCGAATTGAAACTTTGCACACACCCTTCTTTTCTTTGCACGCAGTATATAAGTCGGAACGGCCGGGATCGGCCGACTATATCCTATAGCTGCCATATAACTGATTGATCGGAAATGCCATAACTTTCGTGTTTGTAAAGTTGGGAAGTTGGGATTTTCTATGGGTTTTATATTTGGCCAATCAATCAGACCTATTAAATTTCACAAGGATCGGCCGATTGTTCAACAATAAATATAAAAATAAAAAAACTAAAAGTATGAAAATTGGTATATCTCTGACTTAATTCCTTTTAAATATTGTTTATTAATTTTTTTTTTTTTGTATGGAAAATATTTTAAATTCTTGAAATTTATCATTACACGAAAAAGGTCACGCTCCCACGTCAAAAGTTTGGATGTAAATGTGTAAAATTGATGACCATCAATGAACAAATGAAATAAAAACTTAATTTAGCAGTTAATTTTCAGGGGAAGATTCTTTTCATTATACTCTATTAAAATCTCCCAACTTACATTCATTAAAATCAAGTAATTCACCGCACCTTATAAATTAAAAACAGAAACTCTGGTTTTATAGCCACAGAAATTTAAAACGATATTTATATAACCCGATTTGTATATATATATCTAATTTTACTTACATTTGTAAGTCTGGTCAGGAGTACGAATCTCATCTGAATGATCTCAGGTTCAAAAGCTTACTGCAAAATGTTTTATACAGCACAACAACTTTTCCTTGTTCGGAAGGTCGAGTCTCAACTGAATGATCTAATCTTGGAATTAGCACTGCCAAGATGTTGTTGGGATGTCCCTATTTCTATCCCATAGGCCCATTAAATATATTATTCAAAAGCAAATAATAATAAGACCGTAGAACACATTTTATAATAACACGTTAATTAGAGTAACCGTATTCGCTATTTTCACATTAACTAAGATAGTACTAAATCGATGCATCGATAATGCAATCGATGTTTCCCCACCTCTAATTTGTATAACTGCATCTTAAGCGTCAGCAATTGTTGTTATTAGCAATGCAAAAATCGTATTAGTTCCGTGATGTCTTTAAGTCCGCGACAATAAAAGTAATACAATTAATATTAATCTGAGCCGCTAAGCTCAAAATGTAAATCTGAAGTTTGCCTAGCTACTCAAAGCAAACTTAATTGGATAAACAAAGCAAGTACTTTGATATTTCATTGTATATGTAAATCGTACTTTTATTACATATTACTCATGAATGGCTCTTATTGTTGGAACTAATAGGCTGTGGCTTAGACTAGAAGCGACTAAATCGATATTTTTCGGACTTCACAGAATCCGAGAGCACGTCATCAGTGGCGATTCGTTGTTGATTCCCCCGATAAGCAAAACAAAGCGGCTTGAGGAGCTGAGGGCAGGAAGTGCCGAACCGCACCCTTAACAAAGAAGAATCTGCGGCACCAACATGCCGATTCTATATAGTGTAATTTCGCGGGGCACCACGGTGCTGGCCAAGTTTGCCGAGTGCGTCGGCAACTTTGCCGAAGTCACGGAGCACATAATCGGCCGGATCGGGGTGCACAACCACAAGATGACTTACACACACGGCGACTACCTGATCCACTACAATTGCGAGAACAAGTTGGTCTACATGTGCATCACCGACAACGTGGGTGAACGAACCACTGGCCCAGTTATCCGCCAGTTACCAGTTGCCCAATCGATATTATCTTGTATCTTTGTAGGAGTTCGAGCAATCCCGGGCTTTTCTTTTCTTGGCGGATGTCAAGCAGAAGTTTATCCAGACTTATGGCCTGCAGGTGGCCACGGCCATCGCATACTCTATGAACACGGAATTCTCCAAGATCCTGGCCCAGCAAATGGTCTACTTCAGTCAGTCACGGGAGGTGGACACCATTTCGAGGGTCCATGGACAGATCGACGAGCTAAAAGACATAATGGTTAAGAATATTGGTAAGTATGAACACTGATCTCTCAATCTTTTCAATTTTCTGATCCCTCTTTTTTCCAATTGTAGACAGTCTGCGAGATCGCGGCGAGAAACTGGAGCTGCTGGTTAACAAGACCGAAAACTTGAGCAATAATGTAAGATAAAACCCAATAATCTTGGAAATGTTACTTTATAACCTCTTTTACAGTCCGTTGCATTCCGCAAAGCCTCGCGAAATTTGGCACGACAAATGTTTTGGAAGAACATCCGGATCTACGTGGTGGTGGGCCTGGTGATAACCTTTATTGTGTACGTGATCGTGAGCATGGCCTGCGGCGGCCTTGCTTGGCAGTCCTGTGTTTAGGATGCGCTTTAAAGTTGTTTATATTGTTATAGACTCATAACTCATGTATATTTGCATATAAAACTCTACGGTACTCTCACTATCTATGTTCTATGTAACAAACGTGAATATATACAGTAAATAATGTTGGGAAAGCCATTGAAGAGTTCACTTGTACCCGACGTAGACCACATCGTTTGCCTTGACCTTGCCCGGCAGCCGAAGTCCCAAATGAATGCCCAAAGCCGGTGCGCTATATTTGAACATGCGGTAACTGAGGAGTGTGGAGATAAAGTATCGCGCTAAGTAGGGCTGTTCAGATTTTGTAATGACTTACGTCTTCAGCGTCTTGAGTGGCTCTCCGTCGGAGTCCCTTTCAGCCGTATTCACATCTATGTTTGGAAGGATGCATCGAGTGCATGGCGCCACCGAGCGGAACACAGCGTCGTCCCCAATACGAAGCCATTGCCAATGGTCCTCGGCATAGGGTTCGTCCACATCCATTTTTAGTTCAAAATTACCGCGAAACTGTTGAGCATCCACAGGATGCTTCAGCCGGGTGTTCAGATCAGCCACCGATGAAAGATTCATCAGCATAAAACTGGTGGCATCGGTGAAGGTTCCCTATGGCAAAAGAAAGGATACAAAACATTTACCAAAAATATGTGCCCTGGGATGAATTTTTAAATGTGGGATTCCCCATAATTTGGTCCGTCAGACGAAATATTATTTGACTTAGCATGGAGGTCTTGTTTTAAAGCAACTAAATTATTCTACAATTTGGAAACTGGAATAGATACCCACCGTATCCTCCTGTCTCATAAAAGGCATGCCCTTAAAGTCCGAATTGGCCGCCTTTACTGGTTTTGGATAGGGATAGTAAACTAGCTTGAGGCCGGAATCCTGATTGCGGATTGCCTGGGAGAACCACTTGTTAATCCGATCACCGCAGAGCATCACGTCTACAGGTACGCCCCAAACGACGGTGTGTACATGCTTTTCGGGACCCTCAAGATTCTCAAAGTCCAACTCCAGGTCGGGCAAGTCTTGGGCACTAAAGAGCAGCTTGTTGGGCGACACCTTCTTCGAGTGGATCTGGGTCATCTTCGGATACACCCGAGCCGTGATCATCTCGTTCTTGTCGTTAACCACCATCAAGGTGCGTTCCCTTATTCCCTCAAAGGACATGCTGAGCACATCGCAATCGTACTCGACGCCAGGCTTCGAGATCTCAAGAGGAGCACAGGACTTGACTGGAAAGAAGTGGATCCTCTGCACGGTGCCCACACGTCGCCACTTCTGGGGCATTACATCGCGGGTCAGGTGGCGGAACAGAAGGTAACTGGCCCCTCCCACAGCCACGAGGCCCACGCCTACGCCCACCAGGCTCTTGGGACTGAGGTCAAAGGTCGCGTTGCTTCCACTGGCTGTAGGATAACGCGATTTACTGGAGAATCTCTTATTTTATCCAGATTTTTCACTTACTTGCCATCATCTCATTGACTGCTCTGTAGTCACTTGTTGCTTTCTCAGCGTTAAAAGCTATTTTGATAAGATTTATTGGACGAAAGCTCTCATTTGATGAAGATCTACTTCAAGGCTGGCCATATGTACATATGTACATACATATGTACATTTGTGAAATTATGTGAATTTATCCGTTTATTAAGTTATTTAATCTAAAAAATAGTATTTTTTTTAAATATTATTTTTTGGATTTATTTTGTTTTTTAATTACCATCCCTGCCGCCTCCGCTTTAATCGATAACTGTTATCAGCTATTTAGCCGGCGAATTTGTTTTTTTATTTGTTAGGAAAAACCGTAAAAGGCAGATGATGAACTCTCTCCAGCGATCTTTCTCTTCTTCCAGGTGTTGCTGACATTTTAACGTCAATGGTCTCTCCTCCACAAAAAAAAAACATGCCAAAACTGTGTTCCATTAAATAAATAGTAATTTACCTAAATAATGACAAATCACAAGTTTTAAGAGAAAATCGAAACAAAGTTATGGGTTCTAGAAGTTCAATTGTGGGTCACCACCTGATTACAAATCATCGGAAAATAATAAATAACCAACATGAAAATGGGTCAAAATTTTTACCAACTTTAAAATGACAAATTTAAATGCAGATTTTTAGAGATCCAAAACACAAGTCTTAAGAGATATGCCACGTTAGAATCAGATTAAATTTGTGAATATTATGGAAACTAGAAGTCCAATTATGAGACCCCTTTTTTCAAGGCATCGAAAACTTAGAAATAACTAACATGAAAATGGGTAAAAATTTTGACCAACGTTAAATTGAAAATTTTGAATGCAGACTTTTAGAGAATTGAAACACGAGTCTTTAAAGGTATGCCACTTTGGAATCGGATTAAGTTTGGTAAAGTTATGGAATCTGGAAGTCCAATTATGGGACCCCTTTTTTTCAAGTCATCGAAAACTTATAAATAACTAACATGAAAATGGGTCAAAATTTTGAACAGCGTCAAAATGAAAATTTTGAATGCAAATTTTTAGAGAATTGAAACACGAGTCTTTAGAGGTATGCCACTTTGGAATCGGATTAAGTTTGGTAAAGTTATGGAATCTGGAAGTCCAATTATGGGATCCCTTTTTTTCAAGTCATTGAAAACTTAGAAATAACTAACATGAAAATGGGTCAAAATTTTGACCAATATTAAATTAAAAATTTTGAATGCAAATTTTTAGAGAATTGAAACACAAGTCTTTAAAGGTATGCCACTTTGGAATCGGATTAAGTTTGGTAAAGTTATGGAATCTGGAAGTCCAATTATGGGACCCCTTTTTTTCAAGTCATTGAAAACTTAGAAATAACTAACATGAAAATGGGTCAAAATTTTGATCAACATTAAATTAAAAATTTTGAATGCAAATTTTTAGAGAATTGAAACACGAGTCTTTAAAGGTATGCCACTTTGGAATCGGATTAAGTTTGGTAAAGTTATGGAATCTGGAAGTCCAATAATGGGACCCCTTTTTTTCAAGTCATCGAAAACTTATAAATAACTAACATGAAAATGGGTCAAAATTTTGAACAGCGTCAAAATGAAAATTTTGAATGCAAATTTTTAGAGAATTGAAACACGAGTCTTTAGAGGTATGCCACTTTGGAATCGGATTAAGTTTGGTAAAGTTATGGAATCTGGAAGTCCAATTATGGGATCCCTTTTTTTCAAGTCATTGAAAACTTATAAATAACTAACATGAAAATGGGTCAAAATTTTGAACAGCGTTAAAATGAAAATTTTGAATGCAGATTTTTAGAGAATTGAAACACAAGTCTTTAGAGGTATGCCACTTTGGAATCCGATTATGTTTGGTAAAGTTATGGAATCTGGAAGTCCAATTATGGGACCCCTTTTTTTCAAGTCATTGAAAACTTAGAAATAACTAACATGAAAATGGGTCAAAATTTTGATCAACATTAAATTAAAAATTTTGAATGCAAATTTTTAGAGAATTGAAACACAAGTCTTTAAAGGTATGCCACTTTGGAATCCGATTATGTTTGGTAAAGTTATGGAATCTGGAAGTCCAATTATGGGACCCCTTTTTTCAAGTCATCGAAAACTTAGAAATAACTAACATGAAAATGGGTCAAAATTTTGACCAACGTTAAATTAAAAATTTTGAATGCAGATTTTTAGAGAATTGAAACACGAGTCTTTAGAGGTATGCCACTTTGGAATCGGATTAAGTTTGGTAAAGTTATGGAATCTGGAAGTCCAATTATGGGACCCCTTTTTTTCAAGTCATTGAAAACTTAGAAATAACTAACATGAAAATGGGTCAAAATTTTGATCAACATTAAATTAAAAATTTTGAATGCAAATTTTTAGAGAATTGAAACACAAGTCTTTAAAGGTATGCCACTTTGGAATCCGATTATGTTTGGTAAAGTTATGGAATCTGGAAGTCCAATTATGGGACCTTTTTTTTCAAGTCATCGAAAACTTAGAAATAACTAACATGAAAATGGGTCAAAATTTTGACCAACGTTAAATTGAAAATTTTGAATGCAGATTTTTAGAGAATTGAAACACGAGTCTTTAAAGGTATGCCACTTTGGAATCGGATTAAGTTTGGTAAAGTTATGGAATCTGGAAGTCCAATTATGGGACCCCTTTTTTTCAAGTCATCGAAAACTTATAAATAACTAACATGAAAATGGGTCAAAATTTTGAACAGCGTTAAATTAAAAATTTTGAATGCAAATTTTTAGAGAATTGAAACACAAGTCTTTAAAGGTATGCCACTTTGGAATCCGATTATGTTTGGTAAAGTTATGGAATCTGGAAGTCCAATTATGGGACCCCTTTTTTTCAAGTCATCGAAAACTTAGAAATAACTAACATGAAAATGGGTCAAAATTTTGACCAACGTTAAATTAAAAATTTTGAATGCAGATTTTTAGAGAATTGAAACACGAGTCTTTAAAGGTATGCCACTTTGGAATCGGATTAAGTTTGGTAAAGTTATGGAATCTGGAAGTCCAATTATGGGACCCCTTTTTTTCAAGTCATCGAAAACTTATAAATAACTAACATGAAAATGGGTCAAAATTTTGAACAGCGTTAAATTAAAAATTTTGAATGCAAATTTTTAGAGAATTGAAACACAAGTCTTTAAAGGTATGCCACTTTGGAATCCGATTATGTTTGGTAAAGTTATGGAATCTGGAAGTCCAATTATGGGACCCCTTTTTTCAAGTCATCGAAAACTTAGAAATAACTAACATGAAAATGGGTCAAAATTTTGACCAACGTTAAATTAAAAATTTTGAATGCAGATTTTTAGAGAATTGAAACACGAGTCTTTAAAGGTATGCCACTTTGGAATCGGATTAAGTTTGGTAAAGTTATGGAATCTGGAAGTCCAATTATGGGACCCCTTTTTTTCAAGTCATCGAAAACTTATAAATAACTAACATGAAAATGGGTCAAAATTTTGAACAGCGTTAAAATGAAAATTTTGAATGCAGATTTTTAGAGAATTGAAACACAAGTCTTTAGAGGTATGCCACTTTGGAATCTGATTAAGTTTGGTAAAGTTATGAAATCTGGAAGTCCGATTATGGGACCCCTTTTTTTAAGTCATCGAAAACTTAATAATAACTAACATGAAAATGGGTCAAAAATTTGATCAACGTTAAAATGACAAATTTGAATTCAGATTTCAAATTTGTGTTTACAAGTCTTCGGAAACGTAGAAATAATTAAGTCAAGTCTTAATAGGTAAGTCACAAAAATTCGGCTTAAATTTGGAATGTTACGGAAGTAAAATAAAAATGGTTCGACCGTTTCTATGCCAGCAATATGATAAAGTCGTCCGAATATTTTTAAAACTAAGCCCGTATATCTGAAACTGCTCAAAAATAGAATGTCTATATGGATGTATGTTAAGAAACAACGAGGTTATAATTTTATATCTCTTTCTTTCCGACGTGCAAAAAAAAAAAAAAATGGAAAAATCATTGTTCATCTGTCCCCTACGTAGACCACATCGTTTTCCTTGACTTTTCCCGGCAGCCGAAGTCCCAAATGAATGCCCAGAGCCGGCGAGATTTTGTTGAACAAGCGGTAGCTGTGGAGTACAGGGAAAAGGTACCACGATAAATCGGGTTGTTAGGAGTCTCCGGTGAGTAAGAACCCACCTCCTCAGCGTCTTAAGAGGCTCTCCGTCGGGATCCCTCTCAGCCGTCTTCACATTTATGTTCGGAAAAATGCAGCGGGTGCATGGCGCCACTGAACGGAAAACAGTATCTTCCCCAATACGAAGCCACTGCCAATTGTCCTCGGCATAGGGCTCATCCACATCCATTTTCAGCTCGAAATTGCCGCGGAACTGTAGTGCATCAACAGGATTTTTTAGCCGTGTGTTAAGATCAGCCACCGATGAAAGGTTCATCAGCATAAAACTGGTGGCGTCGTTAAAGGTTCCCTGGGCGAAGAAGATAAGAGACAGGTTAAAATAACTTTAAAATTCGTTTAGACTAATTTATAAGGGGCAAACAGCCAACCCATACAACTATATTTTGGAAACAGGAACAAAATACGCACCGAATCCTCCTGTCTTATGAAGGGCATGTCCTTGAGCCGCGGATTAATTGTCATCACTGGTTTTGGATAGGGATAGTGAACTAGCTTGAGGCCGGTATCTTGTTTAAGGATAGCCTGTGAGAACCACTTGTTGATCCGATCTCCGCAGGGCATCGCGTCCACAGGGACTCCCCAAACAGCGGTGGGCACATCCTTTTCGGGACCCTCAAGATTCTCAAAGTCCAATTCCAGGTCGGGCAAGTCCTGGGCACTAAAGAGCAGCTTGCTGGGCGACACCTTCTTCGAGTGGATCTGGGTCATCTGCGGATACACCCGAGCCGTGACCATCTCGTTCTTGTCGTTAACCACCATCAAGGTGCGATCCCTTATTCCCTCAAAGGACATGCTCAGCACATCGCAGTCGTACTCGACGCCAGGCTTCGAGATCTCAAGAGGAGCACAGGATTTGACTGGAAAGAAGTGGATCCTCTGCACGGTGCCCACACGTCGCCACTTCTGGGGCATTATATCGCGGGTCAGGTGGCGGTACAGAAGGTAACTGGCCCCTCCCACAGCCACCAGGCCCACGCCCACGCCGACCAGGCTCTTGGGACAGAGGTCAAAGGTCGCGTTGCTTCCACTGGCTGCAGGGTAAGGACACGTTATTAAAATAACTCCTATTTTATAAGCAATTTGCACTTACTTGCCATCGTTTTCCTGTTTCTGTTGAAGCCACTTGTTGCTTTCCCTGCGTGAAAAGCTTCACTGATTAAATTTTTTGGACAAAAGCTTTTCTTTGATGAAGATCTTTCCAAGGCTGGACAGCATGTACGGCCATTTTACACCTTTAATTACATTAGCGAAAGCAAGTACTAACAAAAACTGATGATATGGAATGTAATTTATTTTTTTATTAGTTGTCGGACATAAACTTTTAAAACAGGTTTTTATTTTTATAGTTTTTTTTTGTTTTAAAATGACCATCCCTGCCGCCCCAATGCTTATCGATAACTTTTATCGGCTATGTAGCCGGCGATTTTGTTTACGTTTGTTTATCTTTTAATCAGTGTTTCAAGAAGACTGTGAATATACATATTCAAAATACCTTATATTTCTTCTGCATCTAATAAAGAACCCTCTCCTTGGATCTTCAAAAATGAGTGACACCGAATCAAAGGCAGCGAAGGGGTCAGAAGAAAAAGACTCTTCCCAGAATCCTGAACTGGATGTAAGCAGCGAGATGTTCAATCCTCTTCAAGCTTTATACGAACCGAATTATAAGATTACGGACGCGGTTCCAAAAGTTCTCTACCAAAATTTGGCCGCCTTCGAGAGTGCCCTGAAAAAGTTTGGGATCTGGAAGTTAAACAAGCGGCAAAAGCCGGAAACTGCAGCAGGAGCAGCAAAAATGGCCTCCACTTCCCGGTCTGCACATATCCCAGAGGCTCCTCAGCGCCGTTTTGAGCTCCATCAGATGCCCACTACGAAGGCCTCGAGCAAGAAGCACTATCGCAACATTTTCACATACATGGAGGCGACTGTCGGACCGCTTGAACTCCTTAAGAAGTGCATACCGTCGGTCGGCCACAAGGAAACTAAGGAAAGCACTGAAAGGATACGAGTCCGGGTGGTTCTCCGCAAGCAAGGAGCGATAGGCGGCACCGTGGAGGGTGAACTGGTGGCCTTCGACAAGCAGTGGAATCTTCTCCTAAAAAAAGCCACCGAAACCTGGAAGCGACGAAAGTACAATTACGGAGAGCAGAACATATGCGACACACCTGTGGATTGCACCGATCGACTCAGAGAGCTGGGAATCACTTATCCCAAGACTCAAGTCAAAAGTTTGAACCGAAAGAACGTAGAGATAAAGCGTGATCTGCCACAGATCTTGATACGCGGCGAAAATGTGGTTTTAGTTAGTTTAATAGCTAAGGAAATGTAGTATATAGCTTGCTTTAAATCTCATCATTCATTAGACTTCAAAAGGGAGCAAATAATAGCTAAGAAATTAACTTATAACCTTAATATAAATAAATTTGTTTACAAATGGTTAGTTGTATAATTTGTATTATAACCAAATAAGATTCTTTTGTGTTAATGCCTTGAAGGGATTCGCTTTGTAAAGGGGAATTATAATTATCACTGTTTGTTTGTTACGCACAACTTAAATTAGGGTCGTCGGATCTGCCTCCTCCTCTGATTCCTTTTCTCCACTCTGTGAGTGGACCAACTTGTGCAGCTCCAGTACCTCCACCGTCTGGAATCTGCGCCAGCAGACGCTGCAGGAGAACCTGCGAGCACTGTCGCCCTCGTGGAATTTTCGGATGTGGCACTTCAAGGTGTAGTTCTCTCGAAATTGCCGGCTGCATTGGGGACAGGATAATCTCGGCTGATCGTGGGTGCGCCGGTGAACGGCCAAGGCGGAGCTGGTCTTGCAGCTCTGCCCGCACACCTCGCAGGTGTAGTTCCTTTCGCCTGCATGCATGGCCTGGTGCTGATGGAAGTCCCACTTGGATGGGGCGTTGTAGTCGCACTGGCTGCACTGCCACTCCACCGGCTTGAAGTGGTAGCGCGCTTGGTGCTGCTGCAGCTTGGAAGCGAGGGGGAAGCCCTGGTGGCACACCTGACACACATTCGGATTGGGTCCGCCATGCACACGGAACTTATGTAGGCGCAGCTGAAGCTCGTTGAGGAAACGCCGGTCGCACTCCTCGCAAATAGTCACCGAGATGTGGTTCGTGGGCATGAATCTCAGCAAACTGCGGTAGTATTTCGGATAGCGGCAACGAAAGTCGGAGTTGCTCAACTGCATCACATACTGCCGTTCGAACCAGACTTGCAGAAAACGGGCACTTGCACTGATCACCTGGGTCTGCAACTGGAAGCCAAACCGCTGGAATAGTGCCTCTGTCACCTTTTGAGAACTCTCCAGGCGATTCTCTCGGTTAATCCCACGGTGACTGTTCCAGAGAAACTTGTGCCGGCGCATAAGTTCAATAAAATACTGAATAATCTCAGCACTAGTCCGCTGGAGGCTGTAGAAGGGCTTGTTGGGTTTGTTGAAGATGTATTCCTGTGGAAGGTTAAGAAGACAAAGGTAAGGACAGTGTTTTTTAGCTTCAATTTTTACATACATGGTTACTAATCTTTTTAGGCTCATCATGATTCTTGTCTTCTTCCGATGGGCAGCTTAGTTCTTCGTTATCTTGCTCATCCTCCAGGAACTCTACATTTGTGAACATTTCCTGCTCCTGGGCTTCTGCCATTTCGAGTTCCTGGGCAATGCCCGCCTCTGAGAGGTTGGCCAGCTCCATCTGGATCTCGTCATGGATCTCATCCACATCTCCAGTTACCTGATGGGCTCCGCCATGCGTTTGAACCAAGTGTCTCAAGAAATCCTCCCACTCGCCACCGCCAAAAGTGTCCGCATTGCAGAGACAGCATTTAATACGAATGGATGAGTCCTTTTTTATATACACCCGTGCACTTTCCACATAGTGCTGACCATTTGAAAGCTGTGGTGTCATGTCCTTGGATTCTACATGTTAATTAATATTTAAACATTTTATAAACGAATTTGTAAACTTATGAGATTGCCAGTGTTGAAAAACTTGGGCCACAAGCAGGGCTGTAACGGCCAAATGTTATCGATAGAAACACATCGCGCAATCGAATTTGAATGGTAATTCCGACTTGACAAAAAACCAATGTTTGTTTTGGCTTTTGTTTTGCTCGTCTTTGTGTGTGAACTCAAAGGACAGGCATTGTTGCAAACGCACAAAAAGTGCACATTGTTGGCCTGACAAAGCGGGTAAAAAAATTACGCTTTCATTCATTAAAACTTGCATTGTTGCTGCTTTGGGTGTTGCTTTTGCTGCTGCTGCTGCTTTTGCTTTTGCTGTTGCCGCGATCTCGAACTCAGTTGAAAACACGTTACGCGCCTGTGCAGAGCGTTTTTGCGCTATCCAAACGTTTCCGATCCAATCCGATCCGATCCAAAGCCACCAGATTCGAAAGTTTTACGCCGCGTGCAGCAACAGCAACAGCAATCGAAACAGCAACAGCAACAACTACAACAAGAGCAACAATAACAATAACAATTCGTATGTTTCGTTTGTGTGTTCAAGTTTTAATTTTTTATGCAAAGCAAACGACAGACTTTTCGGCTGGTCAACAATTTCTATTTTAATTGGCAGCAGCGCCCAGCAATTTACCATAAACGAATGGAAAGCTGACAGAAGTGAACAAGTCACCGACTCTTATTTATTGTGCATAATCAAGCCAATCAATGTGTTTTCTTTCATCCATTTTTTTTTGCCATTTTTCGCCATTTATGTACGATAAGCCCCGATCACGCAGTGTCCAGAATTTGGATTCTTTCTTCGCAGCGACAGCGACCCCATTTGTTAACTACCGCCATTATGTTATAATTGCTAAAAAATTAATAAGTTCTTAACGAACTGCGTGTGCCACTTTTGTGCGTGTTGCTTTCGCGCAGTGTACGCAAATTGGCAAGCGCCGTTAATTGGAAATTTTCTTTGTCAAGGTTGCGGGTCCCAATACGAATCCAATCGGAATCCGACTTTGACTGCGACTCCGGCTCAAGTGCACGTCCGTTTGTGTTGTGTGTCAATTAGCGTGTTATTCAACCGCGCTCGCAAATAGATCATTAAAATAAAGCACTCGGCGGCGTAATTGTAATGATGTGCAAACATCGTCTGGGGAGCACTGGCAGTGTAGATATGTGTATGTGCATATGAAGTTCTGGAATTGAGGAATTCTGAATTCTGAGTTCTGGGGTCCCAGTAATTAGCACATCGATTGACCACCGCCACTGGCCAAAACTGGCTTCCTCCGCTCCGTTAGGCGAAAACAGGTCGGCACACAGGGAAAAATACATAAATGTATAGATATATAGGTTTTATTACCCAAACCACGAAATATCAATCATATTTAAAAATGCTGATGAGCATTCCGTGTCCATTCGATTGTTATAACACTATATTACATAGCTATCATAACTATCCACTCAAGTACTCAGATCGTTAAATCAAGAAAGCAATCAAGTTAGGATGATCTCGTATTATGATACATATCATATACATAAAAGTGTCGTTAATAAATTTCCTTTCTTCTCAAGAGATGGCAACGTATAACTAATTACTTTATCAGCAGTAATTATATTTAATTCCAGAATTATTGGTATATAAATATTTACTTTCTTCGATTCATTGTTAATCAGTTTATCATAACTAGTTATTAAATGTAAAGAAAGGTTATTTGATATTCAAAATATAGAGAAAAGAAGGCACATTAATAGGAGGAACTCCGAAATCGATGACCTATATCTGCTATATTTTTTCTCTGTGCCGAGTTACCAGTTTTCCAGGCTTTATGATGTGCCTGCCCATGTATATGGGGCATTCATTCCGTTTTGGGGCCAGGCCACTCCCCGCGGGCACAAGTCAAACGGCTTTTCCCACTCCACTCGAGTCCACTATGCCACATCCCGCCGCCACTCCCCCGCGATTTTCACGGCCATCGGGGGAAAAACGGTCGACTTTGCGCGGAAGCCTTCACATTAGGGCTCTCACACAGCCACAGTCTGAGCCACAGAATCGTAATCGTGTAAATGGCAAACACACTTTGCTCTCGCTATCAGCGAAATAATCAAACAGCCACGAAAACACAGCACTACTCGTAAAATTTCGGTGTTTGCAATAGTTATCAGACCAATATGGCTTCGTGTGTTGATGTTATTTTTGGGGAACTCTAGTGCTTATGCGAACTTGAATACAGGAAGCTCCAAAAATGTGTGAAATAGTTGGTGTTACTTAAGAAAGCATAAATGTACAAACATACTTACATTGGACTTTAAGTTCATATGTAAATGTTATATGCACGTTTAAGCTTTTAAGATAACCCAAACAAAAGTTGCAAACTAAATTGTTAAAATATTAACCGACATATTTTATTAATGAGATCGTGAAAAATATAATATATGTTGAACACCATTTTGTATTGTTAATCAAATTCGATTTATGGTTTTCTTTTTTCAAGAGATTAGATATTCTGAAATGTTTCCATTTATAGTGCCAAAAGTTTGTCACAAAAATTCCCGTTATAAATAGTTTTAACATATTTGCTTATTTATGAACTATAAAGATTGCACATTAATTGTTTTTATCTGTTTTGACATATTTAATAATGTATCGGTATATGGAGACAATTGTCAGTAATTACCCAAAAATTCTCGTAAAAATTCTAGTTATAAATATTTGACGTTATTGAGTTTACCTAAAAGTTGTAAAGATTTCCAATAGATTGTGTTTATCTGTATTGACATACTTAATGACCAGGCTGCTTGCTTTTGCAAAATATAAGTTCAGCGATTTCTTGAAATATTGATACAATATTAATGAGATTACATTGTAGACGCGGCCGATAAAGTATTCTGAACTTTGGCTCGTTTTCAAATACGTAATTTATAAGCCACTTAAAAATAGCTGGTTTAGTTGGGAAACTAAATCGGTGATCCAATGAAGAAGATGGGTGGGGAGGGGGTTAGAGAGTTAACCCACGTCTTCTCTTCGGAAAAAGCTAATAGAAAATATGGTATTTAAAAAGAGTGCTATTAATTAATGGTTTCGAAACACCCCCCTCAAGTAGATCCTTGATACGCCACTTAACTGATCTATAAATACGCCGTAATTGCAGTAGTCATAAAGCAACGTCGCGGGTAATCTTGGCTCATTGAATAACCACTCTCGTAAAGCAAATACGTGTGTGTCTACAGCAATTGTTCCGCAAAGCTGACCCATTGGGCTGAGCAAATAAACAATATAGTGAGTCAACGACAACCTGTTCCCATTTGCCTGGCATTTAAACAGATAATCGGGACATTCGCGATCAGCTGATCATGCAACTGCGGCACGTGTAAACTTGGCAAATATTTACTGAAATAATTTATAACAGTTTGGTGGATTTTCGTTCATTTCGCCCGTCGGAAGTGTCCACTTTTGGGGGTGCCTAAATGCTCCACACACTCCAGATGATGCATAATTTGCCAGCAATTAAGTAATGTACACACATCAGTGTTTTGTTTCTGGCCTTTTCTTGGGGGATGTTATGGAGCGCACCTTTCACGCAGGGCGCCTCTAGGGCATTTTTCTGTGGGCCATGGCTATTAAGCGCCGTCGGCCAACAGCTTTCCAGGTATCTGGTATCTGGTATTTGGTATTCGTATTTATTTTGCCAGCCATATAGCTATATACGGCGCACGAGCAGAGCGATAACCGCCGACGAGCGACGACGATGTGATGTGACTCCAGGCATTCGAAGTTGCTCGTTCAGTTTTCAGTTTTCAGTTACGTTTTGGCGTTTTACGGTAACGCAGCGGACAGTTAGCCTCCAATTATAGGTGCGTCTATATCTCCCGACTTTCCAGTGCGCCAGTGTTAGTGCCAAAAAAAAAAAAATAGAAAAAAAAACACGGCATACCAACAATAGCAATAGCAATATTTTGAGAAACCTGCAAACGTGTAAATATCGTCTGAGCGCCTTACGATCGCTCATACGCCGCGTTGGCCGCTGCAAAAAAGCCGCTTACGCTTAGCGTTCGTGACTTTGACATTTGTGGCCGCTAAATTGGCCATCTATAACGAATTGTCGCGTATCTTAAACACGTTCTAGAGTACCTATATACGATAAAAACCTATATATACACCGCCCTAATCGCGGGGTCACATTCCCCGACGTGCCCTGGCTTTCTCGTCACCTCATAACCATAAGTCCCATAAAACGTATAAAAATATTTACAACTAATTATGCGGCCAGGCGGCAAAACACTCTCGCTGGATCCATCGCGGTGCCTTGAACTCGGGCTCTGGCTTATGTTTTGCTGTTTATGCCAGCCGATTTCACTTTCTTTTCGCGCGGTCTAGGGCCGTTAATCACATGATTGGGTAATATAGTACTCCGGTGCCCAGTACCCAGTACCCAAGTTCCCAGTTTCCAGTGCAGCCTTATCGCTGCGGATTATGCTGGCCCGCTTATCAGCATGATTTTGGCAATGTCTTTGATAAGATTACCGCTTCGACTTGGCACCCTTTTTTCAGTTGATATTTATGGGCCCGAAGAGCCGTAGCTCTTGGCCAAGTCAGCCCACACCAAGTTCCCAAGAGATGTAAACAGATTGCAATTGTTGTACTCGTTTTCAGTTCACACAGCGCTGACCGAGTTTGTCTGCAATAACACAATACACTCCATAAGACCCTATGCATAAGGTCTGGTAAAACCGAAAAAAAAAGGTTCAGGAAGGGGGCCGAGAAACTAATTTGATCTGCCGAGTGATAGACGCACCCAACTCACGCAACTCAAGAAGGGGAGTCTGACTGGCAAATCGAATTTCCAAAGCAAACGCTCTTTTATGGCCCCGGGTTTTATCTTAGCGTCTCAATTCACACCCTGAATCCGAAGATGCAGAGAATTTGGGTGAAATGGGCATAAGAAAGTGGCCATTCCCTCGCATTGTCAGGAATTTTTTAATGTCTAGTGGCTGCTTTCGCTCTCAGATCAACAAAAGATATTATTATACTCAATTTTAATATAAATCTACATATTTTATAAAGCAAAAATTTGAATTTATGAAACACAGCAACAACTCTCTTTAGACTATTTATATTTTTTTTGGATAAAAATGATTAAAAAATGCAAACTATAAATACATTTAATATTATAAACTATTTATTATCATACACATTTTTTAAGCATTATTCAAGAATCTAGTTTATTATGACAACATAACTAAAACATTTTTTAGAAGTATGATTCAAAGTTGTACTCAAAAAAAAAACATTTATTGTTTTGTCTTAAGAATATAGTTGAATATTTTTTTCTAATTTACTTATTAATCTTTATTATGTACCCAAAAATTATGTATCATGTCTCTTAAGCATACATTGCGAGCTATTACCATAAAAATACAAACTTATTATCATATCTTCAAGATATCTAAAGTGGTTAGTATGATTATTTTATTGTGCAACGAATCGCACCAGCTTTGAGTACACTACTAATTCCCATTGGTGTTTCACTCTCGTTCACCTTATGCAAATTGGTAACGAAAATAGCCAACAGTGCACTTCATGCGGCTGTACACAACAGCTATTTCAAGGCCAATTGGTCGAACGCAAAGCCGATTGCCGGGTAACCGAGTGGGAAAATAATATACAAATAGCAAACAGAGAGGTGAAAACAAAATATTGCTATTGGGGATTATGTGCCAGCGATCTCTGGCCAGAGTTTCATCCCAGTTGTGCGCAATTAACACTCCCCCACTCCATGAAAACACACATTTGCCAGTTGAGCTAATTCGGGCGGCAGAGTTGAAACACAAAACACTCGGCTAAAAATTCGTTTTCATTTGTGCCTTTATCAGTTTCAGGCATTGTTTAATTGTTTGTCATGGGGCCCAACAACAGGTTAAGGGAAATATTGTAATAAACTCAGCTTGACGCACTTTTGTGAACGACGAATAATTAAGTTAGTGTGTCAATTAAAAAATCAGCCAGAGATTTAAGGTCTTGTGACTCAGTAGTATCTCAGTGTCTGAGATTAGGGGAACTCTTGGGCTTTGATCTATTAAATAGAGCACTGCTAACTATTTCTAACAAGTAAAGTAATTAATCAGTAAGCCCATGATATAAGTTCCATTTCCCTAATTGATTTGATGGAGCTCGACTTGGGACTGAAAACAATCGTAGTCTGAGAAAACAGAAAGCGAAAATCAAAAATCGAGAGCTGACCTTTTATCGGGGCAATTGAACGCGTATAGAATTTACGAGTGCCTGCAATGCACACAGGTCTATAAATTGCAGCTCTTAATTCAATTACCCCGCGTGGAGTGTGGAGGAAAATGCTAATGAAAATGGGCTGGCAATGAAAGTACACACATATACGATGTGTATGTATTCCTATCAGATACGATCGCATACGTGCGTTGGTCAACTGATGGGTTTTCGGGGCAGCAAGTGTCACATGGGCTCGATCGATGATCGATCTGGATCGGAAAACGGATTGCCGTCCGGCGGACAATTAGGTTTCCATTCTAGCGCCATTCCATTTCAGTTGGACAAAACGTGTGTGCCATCGATCTAATTGATATTTAAGCAGGTTTAGCTCTATCAGCAATCAACCGGTATTTGTTTTGGGGGCCTTACAATAGGCCAGTAGACAGTGGCTGACCCTGGAATTCTCACTGCCACTGCCATTGGCTGGAGTTACGTAATTACGCATACGCCATGTGAAACGATTGCAAACTATTTGCTTGCGAAAGTGAGTTGCCAGAATGATTTATTCTTCAAGTGTCATAATCAGTTAGATTGGCATATGATTTATAAGGAATGAGTATGAGAAAAAAAAGAGTTACTTTTTAAATGTATGTGATTAGGTTCTTAGGAAACCCCCGAAAGTAATTCTCAATTTAGGCAAATGCATTATTCATCAGCTCTTAAATAATATTATTGGAATTTCCGGGCAGCTTAATAAGTTACTATATGACTCATTCCTGCCCTATCAATGAAACCTAATAAAACATTCATAACAATCCACAAAAAACCCAAGGGACTGTAAAGTGAACTTATAACAATCTTAAGTTTCTTAGCAGTAAATCGTTGAGGGCCCTGCGATAAGATACTATTCCGCTACTAATCTCCATTCAGATTAAGCTAATCAAACAAATTGTTGCAATTAGCTGGCGGTTTTTTGGCTCTTTCACCTAAAATTATTATGGCTTAAAAATTAGCATGATTGAAGAGGAATGATTTAATTTTTGCCCATCTCGAATGTTTTATTAATTTGCTTTGTTTTCTTTTTTCTTTGACCCGAAAAATAGCGACCGTTAGAGTGAACGACGGAAACGGAAAGTAAAAGCCCCGATCGCGACCAGATTCAAAGGCAGACAGAAATGGCCGAGACAATCAACAACAAGCCGAGCATACAGATCCGGAGTGGACTGCCCTCTCCTCTGCCGGACAAGAGTCCCTCGCCGGCCACCAAGCTGCTGATCAGCCACGGCAAGCCCAACTTCACCATCCCCAAGTCGCCCAAGGCGGATGAGAATGGAAACGGAAACCCACTGTTCGCCCAGCCCAATGCCAACAACAACTACAATGCCTACAAGAGCGCCAACAGCAATAATGTGGCCAACAGCCAGAAGTTCATAGTGGGCACCAAGTTCAACGGCGTCTTCAAGCCCTCGAATGCCCTCAGCAATGGCAATGGCAATGCCAATGGAAATGGTTCCTCCGAGGCGGAGAACGAGGCGGCCAAGGTCGTGCTGCGTCGCCCCAAGCTGGCGGACTCACCACCACCCGCCACCGAGGGGGAGGATGAAAATGTGCCCGAGTTCATCAGGCGCCAGCGACGCATCCAGGAGCGACTGGCCAAGGAGAATGTGCTGGACTTCGAGAGCCGGCGCAGCGGCTACTTCACGCACGTCATGATCTCGCCGGACTCGCCCAACCGCACCTCGTTCGTGGAGACCATGGCCAGTCCGGCCATCGTGCCCGCCCTCGAGATTCCCGCCCCGGTGGCCGAGAAGGTGGAGGAGGAGGAGCCCCAGGTGGCACAGGTTGCTGCTGTGGTCACCTCTGCTCTGATCACCGAACCCGAGCAGGAAGCCATCACCACCAATGGCCACAGCGAGGAGCCAGAGCAGCCCGTCACCAATGGCCATGTCCAGGAACAGAACTCTGAGGTGGCGCCCGAGGAGGTGGCCAAGGCCATCGAGCAAGTGAACCAGGCGGTGGCCGGCGAGGAGGATGAGCCAGAGGTGGAGGCCACACCAGAGCCGACACCAGTGGCTGCTCCAGAGGCAGTGGCACCAGTAGCTACTCCAGAGCCAGTGACTCCAGTGGCTGCTCCAGAGGCAGTGGCTCCAGTGGCGGCTGAGAGGAAGGCAGAGGAGTCCACTCCCACTCCCGCTCCCGTGGAGGCCAAGGTGGAGGTGGTGGAGCCAGCAGCACCCGTGCAGAATGGAGATGCTGCTACTCCTGCCACAAATGGCCACAAGGAAGACGAGGCGGAGCCCATCACCATTTCGCACACCAATGGACAGAGCAGCGACGGACCCAGCATACCCACTCCGGATCCCAGTGGCGCCCTGGGAGTGAACTTCGAACCCAAGACGGTGGTCAGTTTCTCGCAGGAACTTGGTGGTGGGGAGAACAACTATCCCGACACCGTGAAAGTGGTTAACGAGGTGCCCTCCGAATCCAATGGAGAGCTCAAGGAGCTGACCAAGCTGAAGTTCGACATCAAGAGCGACGACCAGAACGAAGTCCAGGTGACGCCCGTTCTCCGAGCGGAATAGAAGCTACCAGAAGCTGTCCAGGATCAGGAGTAGTGCAATTTGTTTGTTAAACAAGACACCATCAACTATTGTATTGTATTTTGTGTTAGCTGCTAAGTTGATTACGAGAAATGTTGCCAAATTTAATTTTATGCTTCGCGCATCAGTCAGTATCGAGAGTGGAGTGGATTGGAGTGGATTCATGTGGAGTGGACTGCAGTGGAGTGGCGAGCCCAATCCCCATTGAGCCACCCATTGAGGCCCGGTCCCCAAAATGTGTGTGTGTTTTTGGGAACCGCTAAACCAAACTACGTTTATTGCAATAGACACCATTTGCTTTATTTAAATAAATTATTATTATTGAGAACGCGACTTTGAACTGGAATATTCCCCTCGGAAATTGGTTGGTACTCCGCGATAAGTGTCTATACTGCATAATTTTATTTACTTTTTCCTAGAGTACTTTAACTTGTTCCACAAAGATAACACTATTTTTGTTTATACAGAGGCATGGCAATTGTCCATGGGGGAATGTTGTCTTAGAACTCGAAGGGTCTTATATTGCTACCGAGATATGGGAATATAATAGATAAATCTACAATTTCAGGTGATTTGATTCATTAGGAATTCGTAGTTTCCTTACACATATTCAAAATATGTTTACAATTAGTTAAAATAATGCCGTCTAAGTCGGGGGAGTTACCGCTGGCTATCAAACACCTCTGAGAATGTTAAGACCACGAGCTCAGGGAGTGAATGGTTTTGGAGGTGGTGGTGGTGCTGAAATGAATGAAAACCGAAAGTGTTTGCCGATGTCTAGCATTGAACCCCATGACCTTCGCTTCGATATGCTCCAGTCGCAATCAGTTGCCCTCCGTGATTAATTGCTTTGATTCCGCTGGTTTGCCCGTGCGCGATAGTCGGTGATTGATTGCGGGGGACAGAAATAATAATAAAATAATAACTCAATGGAGTGGGGACTGGAGTGGTGAATGGTGAATCATGGAGAAGACGCGGCACCTGTTCCGGCGATCAAGGGTGGGTCAGGTGGTTCGGGTGGCTATAATGGCTCTAGTGGTTCAGGTGGTAACCATGTCAACTCCGACCCGCCTGTGTTTTTCGGGGGTTGCAGTGCTGACCAACATCTGGCCAACCTGCTCCTGACCCTCGTGGCTAGCACATGCGTTTAATCGATATGACGGTGGTGGCGGTTTTCCGCGTTGGCCAACACAAACTGGAGTTAATCCGTGTGGAAAACCAGTAGGCAATGGCAGGACATTCAGTTCGAAAACTATCTAGATGAGTGCCTCATTTTAAGCTATTATGGATTTATGTCTAAAGGGCTCGCAGGTAGGTCTAATAATGCCTTTTTAACCTCCCGAGGATTATCTCTAAAGCGCGTTCTTCGCTCGGCAGATAAACCTCGCCACACGACAGAAAACGAAGCCCAAGTACACCAGTCGTTCGCTGACGACACTCCACAGTCCGTGTCCCCATTTCCGGCCCCGTTCGGCCAACTTCCTGCAGCAGCGCAGTCGCTCCTCGCCTTTCCTGGGACGACCTCAGTCCGCGGACCCCAAGTTCGGTCGTCGACTGAGCAACTACTTCAGCGACAAGGAGCTGCGGCACAGCGGCAAGGTAAGTGGGCCACATAACCCATGGGATATTAGTGTTATATGTAATATTCCCTTGCAGCGACAAGTTTCCTCCAACGACCTGCTGAAATCCCTTTTAGAAGAACCCATCAAGCGCAGTTGGCTGTGTCGCAGTAACTGCAACTCCTCGGAGTCGGATTACTCGCTCCACAAACGCACCCCCGACAGCAGCGAGGAGGGGGAGCAGTTCCTGGTCACCATGTCAGGTGGTGACAAGGGTAAACCCTACTCCGCCTACGCCGCCACCCAGGGGCTCAGTAATGGAGCACTGCTGCAGCGCACTGCCAAGCCAGATCTTCCGGGAAGGGTGTCCTTCAGCAAGCCAAATATGCACGCAGATCTGGACTCCAGTGATTGTGACAATGACAAGCAGGAGGTGCGTTCTAGTATCTCCGCGCCGGGGCCTTTAACCCTTCCCAGTTTCCTGAGCAAAGTGGAGCAGGCGGATCCGACTGGCCAGAAGAAATCCGTCCACTTTGGCTCCACTGCCGCCGAGGGAGAGGTTCTTGCGGAGACCTACGAGTATCCCAAGTGTCCCTCGGAGAACTGCACTTGCAGCACGCGATCTTCTTCCACAACAAGTACCAATGAGGCCTCTTCAGCGGAGGTTAAGTGTGCCTGCGATGCGCCCAGCTGTCGCTTTGTGGAGTCCACCCAACTGATGGAACCAACTATGGATCCAGCCCCCACTCTCCCCAAGGCTCCCACACCAGAACTTAATGTTATCAGGGAGTACAAACAGGCAGTGGGAGGGGTTCAAGTGGTAAAGAATCATTTGGGTACAGAAACCCTGAACAACATTGAGTTACTTCCCAGCTATTTGGACAAGTATGCCTCTCCCTCGAAGGAGAAGCAGAACAATCTGTCCGAGACCAAGAACCTGGCCACCAGCACTTCCTCCACCAACAACAGTCCCTCGTCCTACAGATCAACTTCCAACCCAAGGAACTTTGGGGCCGAGAACAACTTTTTGCCAGCGGTGCAGGATGATAGGAGGTCCTTTGGCAATGGTAGCTCCGACTCCGTCATTAACAACTACCTCAAGGTGGCCTCGACGCCTCCATTTGTGGGCAAGAAAAAGGAGAACGTAAAGCCCGCCAGTGCGGATCCCATAGCGAGGAGCAGCAAATCCAAGGGAACCAAGATTACAGGCAATCCAGGAACAGCTCCTTTGGGAAAACTCAAGAAGGCCATCAGTGTGGGCAGCCTGCGAGAGGAGCGAAAGCTCTCCGAGTACAATCTGGATAAGGTGGACAGTTGGATGAGCATGCAAGATCAGAAGCAGTTCGATCACAAGCACAAACAGGGATTGGATGATCTGGACGAGGGGCAGGATAATGATACCGCCTCCCAATTATCCTTGAAGTCGAATGAGGACTCGAGGGATTCTACCTACGATGAGATAGTGTCCGTCATCAAGGAAATTGAAGAGGACAAGAAAAGGGGTAAGTTAGGGGTTGGGACTTATAAAGGATCACTCTTAATCTTCTTTTGCTTTGCAGATAACTTTTCCGAGCGTATTCCCAGTGAACTGAACTTGAAACTGGATTCCCGATGCGAAACCGCCGAAACAGTGACTCTAAGCGAAGGAACAGTTCCCGAAAGCGGAGATAAGTACAAGTAAGATATATACTACAGGAAGTTGACCCATGAACCTTATTAATCCTTCTCTACAGGGACATCTTGGCCTATCTGAACAACGTGGAGAGCAGCTGCGACAAGACGTTGATGGAAACACGTCGCTCCATGCCGGACAGCAATCGATCGGAGGTGGAATTCGTGGTGGAGCCGGATATCACTGATGAGGTGCCCAAGTGGGTGAAAAATCTTAAGATCTCTTGAAGTCTTCAACTAATTTTCCCCTTCCTTTCCAGGCTGTCTGAGCTGCTGATGCTGCCCAACCACCAGTTGGCCAGGAGGGTCATTGCCCTCAGCCTGAGAGCCAATGAGTTGGCCAATGCCATCCACATGTCCAAGGAGCACGTCTTCCAGCTGCGCGGCGAGAAGCAGAAGAGCCTGCGGGCCGAAAAGTCCACTGCGGCCGCCAAACTGCGTGATCAGAAGAAGCACTACGAGGAGGTGGTGACCCGGCACCAGGGATTCATCGAGCAGCTGCTCAAGGACAAGGGCTCCCTCTGCGAGAAGGTGGCGGCTCTCACCCGTCGCCTGGAGAGCCAGAACCAAGCCTGGGAGCACCGACTGGAAACGGAGCTGACCAGGACCAAGGAGACCACCATGGCGGGGGAAAAGATCCGGCGAGAGCGTTGGGTGCGAGAGAACACCAAGAAGATCAAGGTAATTGGTTGGGATTTTTAGTTTGGAGGATCAGTAGTCATTATTTCCCTTTAAAGGAACTCACGGTGAAAGGCCTGGAGGCGGAGATCAACAAGATGAACTGTGACCACCAGCGCGAAGTGACCGAGCTGAAGCGCTCCCATCAGTTGCAGTTGCTCGACGCTCTGGAGGAGGCGCGCACGAAGCACGAGCAGATCGAGACGAGCATCCGCGAGAGCTGTGCCCAGGATCGGGAGGCCATCATCGAGAAGGAGCGGACGGCCATTCGGGAGCGATTCGAGCGCCAGCTGGAGGAGGAGCAAAGGACGCAGGCGGAGCAGCGCCAGAAACTGAACGAGGAGTTCGCCGGGGAAAGGGAGCGCCTGCAGACGGAACTCCGGCAGCGGGAGAATGAGCACCAGGCCAGGAGACACGAGGCACTGCGGGAACAGGAGCAGGAGCTGGAGCAGGCCAAGTTCGAGATGCAGGAGCGCATGGCCAAGCAGGAGGAGAAGTACCAGAACCGCATCAACACCATCGAGCAGCAGTACCAGGCGGACTTCGAGCTCTGGAAGACGGAGCACGAGAACAAGGCCAAGTTGGCCCAGGCGGAGAAGGAGAACTCCATAAGGCAGCACTACCGGGCGGAGAGGGATCGCCAGCTGGATGAGCTGGTGGTGCGCATGGAGGCCGATGCACTGCAGCATGGCGAGGAGCACGAGCTGAAGATCAAGTGAGTTAAACCAGACTAAAAGTGAAGACCTATATTTAACAATATCCCATATTTACAGTCGCCTCAAGGAGAAGTACGAGAAGGATCTGGTTCTGGCCGAGAGCGTGGAGAAGTCGCTGCGGGAGAAGTACGCGGAGACTCGCGGCAAACTGGCGGAGTCGGATGCCCACGTGCGGAACAGCCAGGCGGAGGTGAAGCAACTCCAGCTGGAGCTCAGTCACAGCAAGAAGATGTGCGGCGACATCATCATGGAGCGGGACAGACTGCGGGATAACCTCAATGCGGACATCCAGAACGAGCTGGGAGTGCTCAGTGAACGCCACAAGCAGGAGATGGATCAGCTTCAAAAGCGGGTCCACCAGACCATCCATCGACAGGAGGAGACCATTGAGATCCTCAAGGGGGACAACGATGCCCTCAGACAGCAGTGCCTGAAACTAAACGCGGTCATCAGGCAGCAGCGAAAGGATTATTGCGTCAAATAGATTGGATTGGAGATAAAACTGGGAAAACTATGGATAAACTAAACTAGCTTATAATCAAATGTATGGGATCAACAAAACTGCTCAAAAAAACAAGCTTTGGGATATTAGTTTAAAGATCATTAATAAAAAATGAGTTCATTAGGCTAAAAATATATACAATGGTGCGAACCTAAAGAAAAACGTATTAAAAGTAAAGTTCTTGAGTTATTTTAGACTTATCGCATTTTACCAGGAAGTTTTAATTTAGAGATATATTTAGATAGTACATATAAAAAAAAATAGATTGATTTACTAAGTGAAAATTAAAGATTTATGTAAAGCAGAAACTCCAATAATTATCTTTTATGAGTGGAATCTAATTTCCTGAACTTAACATTCTTTAAATATTTTTCCAAAATGTAACGTATATTTTTTCAAAACACAAGTAAATCGATAGGAAGGGAAATAAAAAGGCAAATAATCGATAGATTTTGAGTTGCTACGATATTATAATAGGAAAAAGGAGCAGCCACACTGCGCGCGGCACAACAAAAGTAAATTTGTTTTGATTTAAATGTTTTTATTAAAAATTAAACTGCGCAATGGATGTTTTGAGGGATTATAATAGTTTTTCCAGAATCGGCAACAGCTTTGGCTTTGCTTGCAGGGTAAATAAAGTATTTGAAGATAGAATAATTTTATTAATCAATGATTCTCTGCACAGATAATCGAAAAACAATGTGAGACTCAGCAGCTCGGAACCTACGAAAAATATGAATTTGCTGAGCTTTTAAAGATACTGAATGCCAAGGAAAAGGTGAGTGATTAGTGGGATAAACCAACATATTATAACACCTTGTATATCTAGATGCTGGCCGGCAGGTACTTCTGCCAGTTGCCCACAAATGTGGGAAGTTTCCGAGTGCTCCTTCAGCTCCAGGATCTCCACATCCTCACGGCCACGGAGTACATCCTCAGGTGGGTTTGAAGTAACTATATGACCCCCATTGATTACCTATTGCATTCACAGCAAGGAGCACTCGGATCAGCTACAAGTGGACTTGATCATATTCCTAGAATCGGAGTTCGAACTTCTAACAAATATCTTTCTATCAGCGGCTTATAGTAGGTTTTCCTGACACCCTAATTTCTGAACTCTGCTAATAATATTATATACCTTTACAGATACCGACTATGCGATGAAGTTAACATTAATCCTAACTGCAGCTTTGGGCAATCTCTATGCTGGACTTGTAAACAATCCAAAAATAAGCAGTTTGGGATACATAGAACCCTTGCATAAAGCCCTGCCAGGTGGGTTTAACAACAGAATGTTTCTTAAATACTGATATCACCCATTCTTTAGATGATGCCCTTAGCGTTTGCATGAATATGCATATAAATACCCTGTTGGAACTTCACCGAACGGAGAGTATTAACGAAGCCTTCGCCAACTTCAGTTCCTGGATCAATGAGGGTGTGGATGAACTCACTTTTGTGAAGCACCTCTGCGATGGGGTATTATATACTAATAACAAATTACCCACGTATTCTGAAGTAAGCCTTTTTTTCAGCTCTTTGTTGGCCATCACCAGGAAGCCCTTCAATACCTTTTTAAGCAGTCCAACTCTGAAAACTTTAGACAGTGGAAGTTTTTCCTAATTTTAGTGCAGTCTATCGCTTGTGCTGCTAGTCAGGAAACCACTGTATACATTAAGAGTAAGAATCTAGTTGCTTTCTTTTGCTTTATTCTATTAAATTATTTCTGACAGAATATCTGAAAAACAGACTAATGCAAACCGCGTCTACTGGCAACCTGACATCCCTCCTCCACTTGCTGCTAACTGCAAGAGCTGCCTCTGCCTCAACCATGGATATTCAGAAAAATCTGGACAACTACGCCAAGTGGTACAAGCAGAACATTGGTGAAATGACTTACATCCTAGGCACGGAGAAGTTTCAAGTCACTTTAGGTCTCTTGGAAGAGTCCTTACAATACGAAAAGGAATTGTCATATTTGGATGTGAGTTATTAACCAAAAATTGTGACCAGATATACATGTTGGATCTTTTGCTTTCAGATTCATGTCTCAATTGCCATTTCACCTGGTGGTCGACTAGTTCAGGCCTATAAAACCAAGTGTCGAGCACGTGTATCTCAACTTAAATCGGAAGCGAAGCGAAAAGCGTCGAGGGACTAGACACGAGGTAGGATTATATATCCATCTCCAGTCTCCACAGAACGTCTTATTATTTAATCACTATCATTTTTACTGAATGGTACAAAAAGTAATTATCAAAGCCTTGCCCTAACACACTTTATTTGCTTCTGGAAACATTTAAATTAATAGGCTACAACACTTTTCTCCTCTTCGGTTATGACACATTTCGATTTACCGGGTTTCATGCTAACTCCATCGCATTCATCGGTTTTGGTGCAGATGAATCTCTTGTGAGCATTGCAATCTGCAGATTCAAATTTGTAGAAGCCATTCTCGTGTTTCACAAAGGCGCACCGTCCATCGTTCACGAGCTTGGAATGTTTCGGGGAGTACTCTATGGACTTGTTGTTGGAGGCGTATCTGTAGTTACTTTTCTCGTGCGAATTTAAGCCGAACCAATACTCGATTTCCTCGTGATTAAATTTGGTTTCCATCTGACCCAGGGTAACTTCGGTGTTCAGATCGGCCAAACACATGTGATGCTTTTGGCATTCAATTAAGGCATCAAACCACGAAGCCTTTGGTATCAGGATTGGTTAGCTTTGGATTACTTTTGTAATTAAGAGCACTTACTTTTTTTTCGCTGAAATACAGACAGATTCCCTTGGTATTTACTTCACCGATTTGGAAGTACAGCAAAAATAGGGGAATATAGCAAAGAATTCGCACTTGAAGACCCATTGCGTTAAGTTTGCTATTTAATTTAGTACTGTGCGGATTTCGAAGTTAGCTTGTTCTTCTGTAGAGCTTATAACTTTATTATACCATAGTCAAATCAATTATACTTATTTTATTTTAAGGCTATTTTTTGTTGATATATATTCTTTTTTATTTGTTTTTAGGTTTAAGAGAGAAAACACTCTTGTTCTTAGCTTCTTTTTGTTTTATTTATTTATAAAAAAACTTTCTTACACTTTTAAATATTGGTCATAAATGAATATCACGGAATTCTTATTTAAGATTATAAAATTAATTTGTTCATAAATGTAAACTAATATTTGAAAGAAAAATCAAATGTCATAAGCGAAAGTAAACTATTTTCCAAATATTTGGTTATTCATCTAGACTTTTACTTGATTTTTAGTAAGAAGTATCTTAACTGAGTATCTTAAGTGTCTCCCTGGTTTCCAACCATTTTCTGTCGATGTGGCATCACTTGGCCAATAGGATCCACATTAAAAGACAGAACGACGGCATTTCCAAACTCAAACACAAAATAGAAAAAGATACAACAAAAGTTGCGCCGCTTCGGGTTCTGCGAGTATTGCGAGTATTGCGAGTTGAGGCGGCTACTTTCGCTTTGGCTTTATACGTTTCTGTGCTCTCAACGCAGTCGGACGTTTAAAAATAAACGCGCTCCACCAAAAATACCAAACTCGCTGGCCACAAATAAATCTGAACAAATTCAAATTCCCCATCCGATCAAATACAGAATCCGAAAAACAGTTCTTCGACTCTAAAGACCGAGAAAAAAAAGCACCGAAAGTTTCAAAATGTTCAGCTCGATTTCAGGTAAAGAAAACCCAACCCAAGCGACGTTGATGTGAAAGTTTCCAAATTAGAAATCTTAGTCTAAGCATATGTATATGTATATGTATCTGTTAAATGCAGCTATATACATATGCATACCTGCATAGATGCATTCAGTGAATTAATCGTGGTTAGCATATGACCGCATTGCAGGGAAGGAAGGAAGGATAGATGGCAGTGAACAGCAGTTACATCATCATCATCAGGGGAGTAAGGAGTCGGGGAACTGGAGCAGCTGGCCACCCGGGATTTGGGTGGGGTTGGCTTTTCCAACCGGGCGTGTTCGATCCGATACGGGTCGCAATAACAAGAAACCTAATTGTCTGCTACCGTGGCTTTCAGATGATGATGATGATGGTGACGACTACGCTGTGGATGATACGTAAGCCAATTATGGCGCAGTTATATGTAGCTCCAAATGGACTACAAGTTGCTGTTCTCGCTGGCACATCCCACACCCAAAACGATGATACGTATATATAATTATAGCTGCCTAGATACACACTACACGTATCTGCGGGCATATATACTTAATACTCTGTGTCTTCGAGGGGCTATGCTCTATGGTGTTTCCTTGAAGCGAAATGGAACACTTATGCCAACCAAAAGTGGGTGCAAATCAAAATCCATCCCTGCTTCCGATTTCTGAAATTCTTCAGCATTAGATGCCACTTGAAAACCGTATGGTCAATTGGCACTGACACTTGAGATAGGCATCTTTTTTCTATTATACGGATTATATGTAAATTCTATGCATACTTATTAATATTATCTGTTCCCACTCAATGCCAAACAGATGCATCGAAATGTAAGTAACCCCGAATGGTGAACTTTCCACGAAATTAGCTTAGTTGATAATGCTACTCAGTTCTAGACATTCCTCACCGACTGCGTAGTTCAACCTTTAGTAGCTGCATCTTTTCCTTTTTTTTCAAACACATCGATTTTGTACAGCATGCCTCGGGATTATCAGTGACTTATGCTAGACAAAACATTCCTTTTATAAATAATCAGGAAACCAATGTGTATGATTGATTCTATGAAGTTCAAAAGAAATCTCTTGAAAAGACTTTAAATCTAAGAAATGTTTAATATGTGTTTCTAAAAAAGGCTTTATTTCTTGAAAACTCTTTCTATGAGGCAAGACTATTGAGAGACTTCTGTGGCAATATAGAAAAAAACCTGTTTTCTTAAAAAGAAAAGTTCCAAATTCTAAATTTCATAAGATTGATTTTTCAATGTTTTGTAGACACAGGGAAAAACAAAATTTTAACTGGAAATTAATTATTTATGGTTTATAGTTTTAGATATTCTGTGATGTTTTTTTTCTTTTTTCGAGTTGGAGTTCTTTTGTGTTGGATTAATAGACATTGGCTCTTAATGTGTTTAAAATTTTAATTTATTTTGTCAAAGCTCAAACATTCTTCGAGTCCCTAGATGTGTATTGGTCCGCCTGGTTGGTGGGGTAGTGCGTTTAGGCCGCTGGAGCTGGAGCTGCCGGAGCCTCTCCTCCCGCTGCCGGTTCCGCTGGAGCTGCTGGAGCTGCCTCTCCCGCTGGTGGAGATGCGCCCTCGGCGGCTGGAGCTGCTCCTTTCGCTGGTGCGGCTCCTTCGGCGGGGGCTGCTCCTTCCGCTGGTGCAGCTCCTTCCGCTGGAGCTGCTCCTCCCGCCGGAGTAACACCTGCTTCATCCGGCGCAGGTGTGGCTTCTCCAGCGGCTTCTCCTTCAGCGGGTGTCGCCGCTTCCTCCTCGGGATTGGGTACTTGGCCCTCCTGGCCATCCTGGCCGCCCTCCTGGCCGCCCTCCGTGACCTCCAGTCCCTCCAATCCCTCGTTGCCCTCCGGGCCCACCTGCGGCCCGGCGCCCTCCGCAGGCGTCTCACCATCACCTTCAGGCGCCGTGCGCCCCGCCTCGTCCGAGTACCCGATTTCCGTTGAATTCGAATTATCAGTTGGCCGTGAATCGCTTTCCACACTCTGCTGCTGGATCCCCGCATCGTGCTTTTCCTTTTTGGCCGCGTCGTGGTGGAAGTGGTGCAGATGCTCGTGGCTGTGGTGCTGGTCATCGCCATCGCTGCTCTCCGCCGTGGGATAGGCACACTTGCCCTGGTTCTGCTCGCAGACGAAGTACTTCTTCTCCTGGCAGTTCACGTCCAGGACGACGGTGCGGTTGGGCCGGATCCTGATCTCCAGGCAGTCGTCCATGTTGGAGCGGTGCGTCGGCTCCACCATGCCCGTTTCGCCCATGTAGCGCACTACTCTTCCATTGCTGATGTAGGTGAAGCGACCCTCCGTCTGCAGATCGTTGCCCCCGAACCAGTAGTCGTCCAGGCCCACCTGCACCTGCAGGTAGTTCACCACCGCGTTGAAGTCCTCCGGATTGGACACGTCGGCCAGGTTGAGGCCCTTGCGCAGGCAGTTGTTCTGGGCGCCGAACCAGTTGATCTGTCAATGGAATTACATCACTTGTATCAGTATTAATCACTTAAAGAAAGCTTAATATTAATGGATGGTATAGCTAGGTTAAACAGGGATTCTATAGATGGTTTTAAAATATCTTTACAAATCTTTTAATGTTTTATCAACCGCCGAAAGAACTAATACTCTTTCTAGAACTCATACGTTTTCATATTGAAGAAAGAAAGTCTTTGATATGATGAAAGAATATCTTATTTCAATATTCAATTCAATTCTTTGATATGTTCAAAAAGAATATCTTTCTTCAATAAGATTCAATACATTTATCCACTATTACCCACTATCATTTTCTCACCTTTTTGACGGACACGTAGTAGCACTTTTCGTTGATCTCCTTTAGAAAAGGCTTGCCGCAAGGACCCTTGTCCTTTTGTTTCTTGCTCTGCTTTCGGCCGCACCCGGAATGGACCACGATCAAGGTCAGTATCACAATTGGTAGGATCCTCATGGCTGCCAGCAGAACTGAGCCACCTGTCCAGCCAAACTGTACACATGCGTGCCGCCCCCTGTTCTATATATACCCTTTTGGGGGCGTGGCATTTGCATTATCGAAGAGTGACCAATTTGCACTTGGAAAACTTATTGGTTTCGTATTGCATTTTCTTTCATTGATTAAGTCCGTCGAATTGATTTATTGTAATTAGTGATGGTGGTGCTCGAGGGGTTGCTGATTCAGTTGGTAATTGTTCACTCACCACCAGTATCAAAATTATGCTGGTGCTGGTTAGACTTCACTTTCGAATAAACATTTATATTTCTTAATTAACAGACATTGTCAATAGGTTGAATAATTTAATCATTTGAATAATTTAATGCTTCGTAAAACGTATTACTCTCATACTTACCTACGATCTGAAGATGTTTTTATTTGGAAACCCAACCTTATCTTTTATCTTCCAACTTTTTTTTAATTATAGATAGATATTGCAGCATTTTCTTTCTTAATTCTGAACATAAACTTAGTTGGCTTAATATAAATATTGGAGGAACTAGGCAAACATATGTGGTTCATATATGGTTCCCTTAGATTTTATCTTTAAAGAACTTATGGGAATTTATTTCTGGGAATCTTGAAAGTTTTTAAACTCTTAAAGCAAATGTAGCAGAAACCATAAAAGCAAGTGCAACTTTTGAATAAATATCTTGTAACTTTAATTTCATTGATGGCGATGATTACAGAATGTAATAATTTGCTTAAGATATTCTCAAAAATCGGGCATTATTGTTTGCAGTCGTTTATTTGTGATCGAAAGAAAAAGCAGGAATCATTTGGGCAATATTCTACAACTCAGGCTGGTGCCGCAGCTTCGGCGGCAGGAGCTGCTGGGGGGGCTTCTCCTCCAGCGGCGGGGGCGGCTCCTTCGGCGGCAGGAACTGCAGCCGCTGCTTCCGGAGTGGCGGCTCCTTCGGCGGCTGGAGCTGCTGCATCGGGGGCACCACCTTCCGCGGGAGCAGCTCCTCCTTCGGGTGGAGCTCCTCCTTCGGGAGGTGATCCTCCTTCGGCGGGTGGAGCTCCTCCTTCGGCGGGAGGTGGTGCTCCCTCTCCCTCTCCTCCTACGGCTGCTGCTGCGGCTGGGGCCTCTGCTCCTCCGGGACCTGCAGCTGCTCCCGGTTCACCTTCTCCGCCAGCGGTCGTTACTCCGTCTGGTGGCGGACTCTCCGAGACTCCCATGGTGTCCGTTTCATTGTTGTGATCGAAGTCCGGCACGTCCACCGCTCCAGCCGCCTCCTCCGAGTCCGGCTGCTCGTTCTCCGCCGATCCACTGGCGATGGGCTCCTGGCGGTCCAGCTCCTCCTCTTCCACCTCGCCATCGCCACTCTCGCCGACGTCGTGGTGGAAGTGATGCAGGTGCTCGTGGCTGTGGTGCTTCGGCTTCTTGCCCTCGTCCGCCGACTCGCAGTAGCGCTCCGAGCAGATGAAGTACTGCCGCTCCTGACAGTTGTCCGCCGACACCATGTTCACCTGGGAGCGGACCCGCACCTCCAGGCAGTCGTCGCACTCGGAGTGCTCCATGGGCAGCACGTTGCTGAAGTTGCTGTAGTAGCGCACCAGTCGTCCATTGCTAATGTACTGGAAGCGGCCCTCGTGGTAGAGGTCGTTGCCCCCGAACCAGAAGTCCTCCGTGTTGCCCAATCCACTCAGGAACCCAATGGCTCCGTCGAAGTCCTTTTGGTTGCTCAAATCCGCCAGGGTTAGTCCTTTGCGCAGGCAGTTATTCAATGCCCCGAACCAATTCATCTAGAGAAGGGGATATTAAACCTAACTTTAGTAGATCATAGTCCCTATAAGTGCAAAAGAAAAAGATCTAATCCACTTCCCCCTAAGATCAATTAGCTTTAGATTGATCCCCCATCTCACCTTCTTCACCGAAAAGTAGTAGCACTTGCCGTTGATCCTGCGCAGATAGCGACGCGGGCACGGAGGTCCTGATCCCAGGACCTCGCCCCGCGGCAGGATGCTCAGCAGGGCCACGAGTGCGGTCAGTAGGTGCTTCATCTCGATCGCCTTCCGCCGGTGCACAGTGTCCGTGATCGAATCGCCTCCTGTACTTATATCCTCCGCTGGCAGTCTGTCCAATCGATTGGGCACCCATTGGAACATCGGAGGTGCTCCGGGCATCCCTAACGTCTGGCTAATTCAATTACAAGTTCATGCCTCCGGAATGCCTGCGCCAATGTCGTGGGCTAATTTGTTCAGCCGCCAGTGGGTCAGGTTTAGGGTCATTCAATTTAATTGCCTATTAGCTACACTTGAGGAAAACAAGCAGGAAAATGTAACAGCTGCTTGGAATTACAAGTGATGTTAACCCTCTAAATGCCTGGACTTTATCTATATATTTTTTCTCGTGATGTAATACTTTTATATCTATCTTAAGTGATACCTGCTATGATTAAATCAAAAATTACCTTCTGCATACTTACCATATATTAGAAATACCCTTGTCAATTTAAGCTGGCAAGGTAAATGCTAATTGCTTTTAAAGGAGGTCGCAAGTAATCCCTCCCCACACAAAAAGCAGGGAATTAATCTCCGCGATTCGATCAATTTCAGTGACTGCATAGTCATTAGCATAACCCGTACAATGGGCTCGATGTCTGACCTGCCCTCGCTCCTTCCGATTATTGATTTACCTGGCGAGGCCATGACATCAGCCATCCGCCATCAGCCATCCGCCATCAGCCATCGGATGTCCCTGGGTAAGGACACGAATCCTTTGGCCTCTTGGCCTGTTGCCAGCTGACTCAGTCGACCTTCGGGCGGATGACGATTGTGCCGGGGGCCAAAACAATTGATGGGGCGTGTGAGTTCCATGCCACCTCTTTCTGCCACGCGCTGCCACATTGTACAAGTGTATATACATATATTGTATCTCGATTGTGCATTTGTATCTCACATGACATCATCAACCGGCAACAACAACGTTAGCCCCATCGATTCATCATGGACTGTAGCTCTTTTTAGGCATCCAGAACTGGTGTGGAACGTGAGTTGGTAGACCTCAAATCGCAGTTACTCATAGATATTCATTCCGGCAGGGGTGTGTGTGTTCCGAACTGGGTTCTCGTGTACCCCAGCTACAGGTTTTCCTCTATTCCGAAGCTTCTGCGCATTATTATCTGCGGTACAACATCGTCATCTACATCGACACAAACAGAAACAAAAAGAGAAACAAAACCCAACACTACTTCGAATCAGAGGCTGTGAGAGAATGGGTTCTGGGCTTATTGTGTTACCTTCTGGCCATGCTTCTAGCCGGTTTTTTAGTTTTGACCACAATCAGTCGCAGACTGTTAAGAACAAAATGCGTCGTATTACGCAAATGCTTTAAAAAGGTTGATTGCCTTAGGAATTCCATGAGTGTAAGCCATATAAATGTATGACTAGAGGACTAGACGGGGAATATTAAAGATTATATATCCCAATTCTACTTATACAGTGTTTGCCTTTTAGAAATGGCTACCTTTTTAGTAACTTTTCATTTGAATTTAATTTTGTAATTGGCACACGTATTTCGTGTGTTTTAAGTATATTTTAATACGATTTTAATTTCGAAAACAGCACAATGTATTTAGCAATGCATGAATCCTCTATATATAATGTTAAGATTGTACAATGTAGTTTGCACGATTCTTTCCACTTAAATTCCTAGATTATTAGCAAGTTCAATGCCACAAACATTTTGTAGCCATTAGCATATGATATATATATTCCTTTGATTCACCCTGTTATTGTATTTTTGGGGTGGTGTAAGTTATTTTAACACCTCGACCGAGCCCACACATTCCTCAACCCTGATATGAAGTATAGTATGCCGAAATAGAAACCATTATTTTCGCACAATTTCCAGCCAACGCGGAGGTGTGTGGCTCATTAAAAGCGGAATCAAATTGGCCGAAACTAAATTATTTGGAAATGAGCCGAGTGGTGCGGCCATTAAAGTATCTCTGCCGAGAGCGCGGAATTGGAATAAACATTAGAATTAGAAACATTCCCGATCGCAATCAGAAAGCGTGAAGAAAGGCCCCCTTAAAAGTTAAAGCGATTTCATTTAGCGGTTCCCCATTATGACATCACATACGCCGAATAATTTGAATATTTGCGCTTTGTTTGCCTCATATGCATATGTAGGTATATACTACTTGTTGAAAAAACAAAGTGTAGACAAAGAAATTCCTCGGCATTTCCGCCCGTTTCCGTTTCGCCCAACCGATTCGCACCCGATTCCGAGTTTAATGGCACAATGTTTCTATTTGAGTGAGCGCACACGTCACTCCAAGTGAATGCATATTCTCGAGGGGACAGCAAAAAGCTGTCGCTCGTTAATTTCTATTAAATTGCGAATATTATTCTGAGCGGCTAATTCACTTTAAATTTTAGGGCTGACGTCATGGATCGAGCGACGATCACGATTTTAGCAGCCCATAGTTGCGCAGTTTCTATAAAAATAAATCTGTCCCTTGTCTAATCGATTTTAGTCATGTAAATAGTTCATGCTCCAGCTGCTTTGTTTATGTTTCGGCAATTACCAGTCTGGAATTTGGAATCTGAAATCTCTCATCTGATAGTCGGCTAATCCCGCTGATTAAAATCAGGCTATAAATTATAATTGGCGCCAGCTCAGAGCTTAGTTAGCAATCAGAGAGCCAGCCAGTCAGCATGTTTCCCAGTCGCCAAAACCAAAGTAATCCGAGTCCCCGTCAACCAGTGCCCACTTACAATGTAAACCATTTCCCCCCTCATCTGTTCCCCCAGCCTCGTTGAAGAACTTCGGCGACAAGACGGCCAACCTGTTCAGCAAGAAGAAGGATGAGGCCGAGAAGCTGGCCAACGACAAGGCCGTCGAGGCCCAGAAGCTAGCCGAGGAGCAGGCCAGGAAGGTGGGCCAGTCGGTGCAGCAGACCAAGGGAGAGGCCGAGCAGCTGGCCGCCAGCACGGGTGAGTACAAAAATATATTGAAAAGTGGCTTACAAGAGTGGAAAAAGACCAAGGATCAATCATAAAAATCCAGGAAGTTGTAAGATTCTCCATAAAACTCAAATACTAAAGAAAATATTCATACAAAAATCTAAAAATCAGATATATTTTTAGAAAGAAAAGATTACTTTAAAGTTTTAACATTTGTAAAGATATATTCCAAAATAAGTTTTTGTCTTTTCAAGTTTACTACAATATATTTTAGATAATATTTAGAAAATGTTTCTTCAAAATTCATTTTTCTTGTATTAGCTTTATCTAAAACGCAAAACTTTTAAGCACATTAAACACTAGAAAACATAATAAATGGATTCCTTAAAAGACGCAGTGACGCATGTTTGCTAGATAAAATTCTGCGTTTTTAAAAACATTTTCCAATAATTTGAAAAATGTATCTATATTTATGATGAACATTAAAAAAACAACTAGTGTGATAGAAAAATATTGAAAATGTTTCTATATTTATGAAGAACTTTTAGGAAAAAAAACCTAATGTGATAGAAAAGTAGTATTTGTTTTTGGCACATCTATTTTATGTTAGATTGAATTCCTGGAATTTAATGATTATGAACCCTGTGAATTTCCCATTTTTTAGGCCACTTTTTCCGAGTCTTTTTAAAGTGTTTCTATACTAATTACTTAATTTACTTTTGCAGCCAAGGAAGCCGCCGCTCTGGCCACCGCCGAGGCCCAGAAGGCTGGTCAGGTGATCGACCAGGGCGTGAACCGTGCCGCCGGAGCTGTGAACCAGGGAAAGCAGGCGGTGGACAACACGGTGGCGCAGGCGCAGGCCGCGGCCCAGAACTCCAAGCAGGTGGCTGCCAATGTGGCCGAGGCCTCCCAGCGGGCGGCTGCCACCGCGGTGGACCAGACCAAGAAGGCGGCCAACGATGCCATTAACAAGAGCGTGAAGGCCGCCGAAACTGTGGCGGACCAAAAGCTGAAGCAGGCCGAGGGCGCCATCGATGGGGCACTAAAGCAGACCAGCCAGACGGTGGACCAGAAGCTGCAGGAGGCCAACCAGTACGTCGACCAGAAGCGCCAGTCCGTCGAGAAGACCGTCCAGGATGCGGCCGGACAGGCCCAGGAGTCCGCCGGACAGCAGGCTAATGCTCTGCTCGGCAAGCTCAATCTGGGACCGAAGTAGAGGAGTCAAATCTTTAATATCTCGATGTGAAAATGCTTTAGAAACAAAAAACAGAAGGGAATTTGCTTCAATGTAACGAGTGCCAGTAATGTGATTGCTAAATCCTCAATTGAATATATACATACACACATATTTTTGGAATATCGCGCGGAAGGATTATTTTGTATATGCAGCCGCTGCTTTTGATGTGAGCATTTCTGCACATCTATGTCCGTACAAAGTGTAATTAAAACCCCTTCGTTCTTCTTCGGTCGACTTTTGTTACTTTGAGGCATTTGATATTTTATATTTTATATACAGCGACGTTGAGTATGCTTTTAATATACGTTTATTCTGTTTATGTAGAAATGTATGATTAAGTACTTTTAACTCTTGCACAATGCATTGCAAATGTGTTTTTAATATATTCGACTCGAATGAGATTTGTGGTCATGAATTTTAATTGGTGGGTTTGGAAAACTTAAGGTAAACAAGAAAGGAAAGCTAACTTCGGGCGGAGCCGAAGTTGATATACCCTTGCAGAATATTTTATAAATTATGTTGTCCAAAATTATTCATATGATGTATTCTTAATACTCATAAAATGTCCCAACTTCCTAACTTTAAAAACACCAAAGTTATGTCATTTCCAATCGTTCAGTTATATGGCAGCTATTAGATATAGTCGGCTGATCCTTATGAAATTTGGTAGGTCGGATTGATTGGCCAAAAATAAAACCCATAGAAAATCCCAACTTCCTAACTTTACAAACACCAAAGCTATGGCATTTCCGATCAATCAGTTATATGGCGGCTGTAGGATATAGTCGTCCGATCCTTATGAAATTTGGTAGGTCGGATTGATTAGCCAAAAATAAAACCCATAGAGAATCCCAACTTCCTAACTTTAAAAACACCAAAGTTATGGCTTTTCCGATCGTTCAGTTATATGGCAGCTATATGATATAGTGGCCCGATCCGGCTCGTTCCGACTTATATACTACCTGCAATAGAAAGACAACATTTGGGAAAGTTTCAAGCAGATAGCTTTAAAACTGAGGGACTAGTTTGCGTAGAAACGGACGGACAGACGGACAGACGGACAGACGGACGGACAGACGGACGGACAGACGGACATGGCTAGATCGACTCTCCTGGTGATGCTGATCAAGAATATATATACTTTATAGGGTCGGAAATGTCTCCTTCACTGCGTTGCAAACTTTTGACT